GCATGTCAAGTTGTGAGGGGAGCGTATGTATGGTGCATGTCAAGTTGTGAGGGGAGCGTATGTATGGTGCATGTCAAGTTGTGAGGGGAGCGTATGTATGGTGCAGGGAATGTATGTATGGAGTGGAGTGCCTGAATGATATATTTGACTGAAATGGTGATGAGAATTTTTGACTTGATTGTGGTTTGAGAGCCATGTTTGTTATGTACCAAGTCTGCATGAGGAGACTATAACATTTGTGGTAGGTCTTTCTAATAAATTATCCAAGGATGGTGATTTTTTTATTTTTTATATAAAAATAAAAAATCAATGATTTTTTAATTTTTTCATGATTTTTTTATTTGTTCAATTTTTTCAGCTTTTTTGTCTTGTTGAAATCTCATTTTTTTTTATATTGCAATTAGCCTACTAATAATAACAGAATATGAATGGTGAAAAAGGGCATTTATTGCCTTCAAGAATAACCAAGGTGGTGTTTACCACTTTGGGTTTTTGGGTAGGTACCTGTACAATTATTGATGTCTATTCATTAGCTCGATAAAGTTTGTCTGGAGCAAGGTAATGAGCTAAATATTGACCATTTAACTGGTTCCAATATATAACAACTTGTTGTATAACAACTTACAACTTCAGGAATGCGGATCTTCTAAACATTGAAGAGTCGCATAACAGATCGGTAGCTGATAGCATAGTCAACAGTGCACAGCACTATCAATAGATCTAATAGTTTTATGTCCTATAAATCTACTAGACTCTACCCTCTAAACACACCAACTAGTAGTGACTGACTGCACTGTTCCCATTTGATTCAGACCAATAAACCAATACTAAACATAAACTGAACGAGAACCAAACAAACCTCAAACGACTTGAAACAAGACTTACAGGCATGTCTTGAGAAAAGCTAACACTGTTTGAAATAAACATGTATACAATTCAAACATTTTTTTCATTCACTGCATTTAATTATTTTATATATAAGGTACCTAGTTTTATAATTGTAATTGTTTTGTTTCTAGTTATAAATTCATATACTTAAAGATTGAAATTAAATATTTTAATTAGAATACTCGAATTAGGGTGAAACATCTTTCTAAATGCCTAAAAGGTCAATACAATCTCAACCAACCCTTTTTATATAAGCTAGTTAACACATGTAAATTGTATAATGTAATCAATACATAACATTTAGTCAAATAGTTGAAACTATTTATTGCCTTGTAAGAATTAGCTATGCTACTGGCTATGTACAATGTTGCAGCACTTGATGCCTCTGTACCAAAAACATACAATCCATTGGAACATAATACACACTAAAGGCAACAGGTTTATATTCCAATTTGTTATAGTACATTAATACTAAACCGTAAATAACAATGCCTCAAAATAAATATAAGACTACCATTCAATATATTTAAATATAAAAAATCAAAATAATAAAAAAATCATGATTTAATCATTGCCAACCCTGAAATCAACCTACTTCGGCTGTTCTCTTCAACAAAATAACACACATTGAACTGTTAAATATAGCTTGTTGTGAATGTTGACTGATGTGTTGTCTTGTGAGCAGGTGAAGACCACAGCCCCGCGCAGGTATTGCGTGCGCCCAAACTCTGGCACGATCAAGCCCAAGAGTTCTGTATCAGTGATACTGCTGCTCCAACCTTTTGATTACGACCCTCATGAGAAGAACAAGCACAAGTTTATGGTGCAGAGCATGTACTATATGGAAGGGGACCAAAGCGTTGAAGCCATGGTGAGTGTAGAGCATGTACCTGCATGAAGGGGACTCTTGTGTTGAAATACTGGTGAATACAGAGCATGTACCTGTGTGAAGGGGACGCTTGTGTTGAAACCCTGGTGAGTGCAGAGCTTGTACATGCGTGATGGCATGTACAAGCCTTTTGGTGGTATGTACATGATTTAGTCTTTGTAGCAATGGGCAACAGTTGATGCTCCTAATCTTACACACATGCATGTTTTGCAATTTATAATAAACTTAATGTTTGTACTGCTTCACTCGTCTGCTGTCTTGTGTGCTGCACTGCATCCTCCTAGCATTACAGTATTTGTTGCAGTTCAGAGAGGCCAAACATTACTTGTTGCAGTTCAGAGAGGCCAAACATTACTTGTTGCAGTTCAGAGAGGCCAAACATTACTTGTGGCAGTTCAGAGAGGCCAAACATTACTTGTTGCAGTTCAGAGAGGCCAAACATTACTTGTTGCAGTTCAGAGAGGCCAAACATTATTTGTTGCAGTTCAGAGAGGCCAAACATTACTTGTTGGAGCTCAGAGAGGCCAAACATTACTTGTTGCAGCTCATAGAGGCTAAACATTACTTGTTGCAGTTCAGAGAGGCCAAACATTGTTCATTACAGTTCAGAGAGGCCAAACATTACTTGTTGCAGCTCAAAGAGGCTAACCATTATTTGTTGCAGTTCAGAGAGGCCAAACCTGAGGAGCTGATGGACAGCAAGCTGCGCTGCGTCTTTGAGATTCCGTCTCCTCCGTTTGCTGATGAACCTGAAGCACCTGGTCAGTTGGGTGTGGGGGTTAGCTTTGTGAGGAGTGCAGACTGTGAGGCTGTGGGGGAGGTTGTTACCGGAAGGTACCGTCCCATGAGGCTGGGTTTAAGTGGCATATAAAGAAAATAAACAACTGGTCTTTACTATAGTACACAACCACCAACACAAAAGGCAGTCGAATAGATGTTCAGTCGGGTGTTAATTATCTTGGAAGTTCACTCGTAATTCTTATCCAAACGCTTCAATACATTACATACATAAATTGCTTTGCTCTTGAGTATCACTATAATTACTGTTAAAACGCGTAATTTTCCAGAGTTTCATCAGTGATGGCGATTCGTTTGATTGGTATAGCTGCTGTTCCTTTCCATGATCATCACAAATGCTTTCCTTCATATTGTCCGACGCTTAAATTATTAAATTACCCACAATAAATGCGGTCACCATTGCTGTAGTCTCGTCTGACTGCTCACATGTCAATCTCATTTTATTGCTTGTATTGCGTTATGGTGGGGCTATGTTAGAACTCCTGTTGCATTACTCCTACCTACCGTCACTACTTCTGTTCGGTCTCACCACATTTCTCAATTATATTATTACCCTCGGCAATGGTTACTTGGATAACGTAACTTTTTTATCAATGGACGTTTTGTATGTTGTCTTTTGTGTCGATTGCGTCTGCGTTCGTCAGGGATGCCGGTTCAAGGGGCGGACGTGAAAGGCGAGCAAAAAAGCAGGTAGGAAGAGGCGTGATAGGGAGACTTCATATGATGCCTCTATTTTAAAACGACAGCAAAAAGAACAAAAAATGGACGGGAAAGTCAAAGGTTTCCAGATTCTTTGAGAGATGGTAGAGCATTTGGCCCCGGCGCCCATGTGCCGGAGAGCAGGCCTCAGTTGTCTGGCCTCCACCGCGACGCTCATCAGAAACCCGGACAGCGGCTGGGGCGCAGGTGGTGGATACCCTGCGACATGGGCGCGGTAGAGGTTGGGGGGTACCCCTCACGGCGGGCTTACTGCCACCGCCATCCTAGTCTAATTGATGGCCTTCAAATATAAATCTCTATAAGTACACGGCGTTGTTATTTGTATGTTGTTGATGGTCTCTTAAAGGGTTAAAGGAAGTTTAGTTTCATCAATAACTCGCGAATGTCGCTTCACAGTCGTGGCTAAGCCTGCAGAGCGCCTGCTCGCATCGCGGCCGTCTAAACGCTTATTTCGCGTCATTGTCTGTCGCCTATTACTGTAGTCATCAGATGTTATGCCTTTGTCATATGTTGATATATGCCTAAATGGCAGGCCTATGTCTCTCAGCAAACCTCTAAAATGTGCCTGATTCCACCGTCTTGCTATGTAAACAAACTCACTAACGCGGTCAAGCACACACCCTTCTTCCACACACACTCAGCCTGGTCCCACATTCATGTTCATGTCAACATTGGTCTTCCACGTTGTAATTGAATTTCATAAAGTTGGTTAGTGTATTTATGTACCTTTTAATGTACGAAATTTTTAACGTAACACGTGTTTTGTAATTGTTCTTTAAATTACATAGTTTAGCATTGCTGTCAGTGTGCATTGTTCACCATGAAGCAACATGCTGGTGCAATCCGATGTTTTATTATCTGCCAGTAGAGGTGGTTGGTGACGTCAAGGTCCCCACAATTGCAAAGGTCTCCGAGTCTGCGCCCTCGACTGACCCCGCCAGTGGTGTTGACCCCAAGCTTGAGGCGCTCGAGAAGGAGCAAATGAGGGCAGCTGAAGAAATTAAGAACCTGCGTGCTGAGCTCAGCTTTTTGCGGCAGGAGAACTTCAAACTGAAGGTGGGTGCCTGGTTAGCGTGCGTGCTGAGCTCAGTTAGTTGCGGCAGGAGAACTTCAAACTGAAGGTGGGTGCCTGGCGAGGTCTCCTACTTGAGGTGGGTGCCTGGTGAGGTCTCCTACTTGAGGAGACCTCACCACCCTCTCCTACCCTCCTAAATTAATGCATTTAACCTCTCCTCAGGACGACAAACTTCGTGCGGCAAAGCAGATGCGAGGTGACGCTGCTGGGCCCACGGTCGTGAAGCTGCACGAGGCACCGCCAGGCTTCATGCCCGCACACTTTATCCTAGCCATCGCCACGGCCTTCCTGGGCTACTTCCTTGCCAAGTTTGTGCTCTGAAGGCCTACTTCCAGCTCCTCTTCTGCTCTTCCTCTGCTCCTCTCCCAGCTCGCGCATGCAGCGCCGGTCTCTTCACTCCAGCAATGGTTTCTTGCAACGGACGACGTTATTTTTTAATTGACTCCTCGTCTTAATCGACGTGAAACGTTTTTTTTATTGCGTTAGTTTCTGAGAGGGTTTAGGGTTTACAATGTAGTCGTCATTTATGGAGAGGCCATCCTAGTCATGCAGGCTCCCCTGCTGGGGGTGTATATCTCCCATCATCCCAATGTTTAGCGTCTGATGCTTGGCAGATACATTGGCGCAAAAATTTCTTCTGTTGCGCCATTTCTATTTTCGAGACTTGCTTCAATTAAATGACTCGTGGCGCTAATTTGTCTTATAATGCACCTAAATTGAAGCATGACAAGACATGTTCAGAGATGCTATTGGTGGTCTAATGACCTATTAAGACAAGCCACGCTCGTGTCTGTATCTTTAATGAAGAGACGTCAGCTCAGCACGTGGCAGCTGATCGCGGGACGCGTTTGTTTGTTTCCAAATATAAAGAGCGTGTGAGTAAGGCTCATGGTATTGTGCCAGCGCCCAGCAGTGAATGACTGTACAAGTCCCCACTAGTTAGCGTAGCAACGCAGTGTAAGATGAGTTCTAAAGCATTCGTTGATGAGTTCCATTGCTGCAAAGTCTCGTATTTACTTCATTATGCCGTATGGGGATAATGTATAGCAGCCATTTGTCCATGTGCGAATTATGTTGTCCTCTTTTATATATACCGGTAATTGATAGTGCAAATGCTGTGGTTAGGTTCAACTCTTGGTATGCAATGCTGATCTGTGTGGAGTAAGGGAGGATGTTGACCATTCATCGCCGGAGATTACTTCCCCTCTTTAGGTTCCTTCGCACGAAATAAATGAATTAATTTTTCTTCTAAGCAAAAAGTTTCTTTGCAATTGCTTGACTTAAAAGTCGTAGAGCGTGAGGAAGTTATTCAAATATTGTGGCAGGTCTCAGTGCGGTGTTGCGACAGGGCAGCCTCGCTTGCAGGTCTCAAGTGATGATATCAAATGATGACCAAATTAGTATCTCGCCATTATAAAGTCCTCATCCTACTACTCGCTTCCCGGACCCTACCTCTCCAGTTCAGACCGTAGCTGTTGTGAGCTCTGGCGCCCAGGCATTGAAGCAGGCCTCACCTGCCCTGCCCTAGCTGTATACCTTGCCACTCTTCAGGTGGTAACTAGTATAAAATATCTGCTATGTTTCAATTATCGTTGGGTGATAGAAAAAGAAAGTTGCGATGCTCGTCTTGGTATGAACGCATATGCTTGCCATTTGACAGGCGTCATGTGCAGAAGCCAAGTCAGTGTTTTTTTCATATAATAAGTCACGTGTAAGAGTGTACGTGAGGTTAGGTTGCGTCATGACACGCACGTTTGTTTGCAGTCGCTCTTGAAAGCTTTGTAGTTGTAGTGAAGAACTTGTTAATCCGTTAAGCTGATGCGTAACTTGTAGAGTAGGCGGGTGATTGTTTTCTTTATCACTTAAGAACGTTTGTGTTGATTAATTTTTCATGTTTTGGTATTTTTGATCCTCTGTTTATTTCAGGACTTGAGATTCCCCTTGGAGAATAACTTGATGATGCGATATTGGGTGTGCAAAACTGTGCATTTTATTGAAATTAGCACATAATAAAGAGTTTGGGATAGTGGTTGGCAGGTGCCTATATCTATCCTAGCTGCGTACATAAAATTTAGTTCACTGCCTCGACTAACTTAGGCATATCGGGTAACACGGCTACAGGTGGACATCTTGCTCTGTTCTCGAGGCTCGTGTTGATGGAAGCCTGCTTGAGAAATTCAAGCTTTAGATCCATCCTAATGAGGCTGAGTTGCGTGCATTGTTTTTATCTTGTTAAGTTGTTGGGTAACTCCGGAGGTTTAAGTGGTTCGTCGTTCAAGGTGAGGCTCACGTCTTATCATGCGTCTGAGGTGTTGAAAAAACAACTGCTTTGATGACACTTGGACGGCTGTTGCTATGTACAGGTCACGTGTACGGCTGTTGCTGTGTTCAGGTCACGTGTACAGCTGTTGCTGTGTACAAGTCAAGTGTACAGCTGTTGCTATGTACAGGTCACGTGTACAGCTGTTGCTGTGTACGTGTCACGTGTACAGCTGTTGCTTTGTACAAGTCACGTGCACAGCTGTCATTGCACCGGCAGTAAGCCTCATAACCTTGCGAGCTGTGTAGCCAAGTCTGCAGTAATTACCTAATACGGTATCAGTTATTCTCGGTGTTGTCTCTTGGAAGTTGTATGTTCCTCGTCTCCCTTCCTTCCTTTACATCGTATCTTTTATCGCTTTGGCTTTGATCAGGATCTTGGGACAAGGGTTAGTTGCCGTGCCATTGCCATTCAGCTCCCTTATGGCATTCAAATCTTTAATTCACCAGGTAGCCTAGGAACTGGCGAAAGAATGATTTCGCGGGAGATTTATTTTGAAGGCTTCTGTAAATTGTTGGTTGTGGTTATGTCTAGACAGAGAAATTGTATATGGTGAGTGTTGGACAACGAGGACCAACTGTCGTTGTGTGAAGATGCGTCAGAATAAAGCAATGTTATCTCCCATTAATGCCTGCGTTGCTAGTTCTTGTCGAGTGTTGCACGTTTTATTCTTCAATAAATTGCTAACATTTCTATGAACCTTCTGGCTTCTAAATAGAAGAACGTATTGATACCCTTTTTGTAAATCATTAAAACCATCAAAAATCTCAATTATTTCATGTTGATTTTACGGCTTTTGTCACGAGTAAATTCAAATTTTAAATGCTTCCTATTAAAAGCAACACCGTTTACATTTCTGCATAATGTTTGTGTTTCGGCATGTTATTAAGTGAGGGTCATTTCCACGTGTAACGTCTGTCAATTATATTCTCGTTTTCTCAGATTGTTTTATTTGTACAGACAAAGGTTCAAGCCTAAATCTTGCATGTTGTACATACACTTGAACAGCCTTCGTTTGGAGTACTTTGCACACTATTACAGCACACAGTACTCATCCATAAACTTGAACAGTCTCGTTTGGAAGACTGTGCACTGGCACAGCTAGCAACATCCATGTCAATTGCGAGGACAATACGCACGTACACGTAACATTGTTAAAGCGCTCCTCACGTGTAAATGACATTGCTTAAATCTTCATATATCTTAGCAAGCCAGGCCGTGACAGGCAGACGTTTATCGTGACACCTCGCAGTTATTGTCAGCTATAATCGAATTCTTGCCATGGTTGTTAATTTACATCGCAATCTTGTAACATTGTGAGAAGGTATAGCAACTTTCGCAGTTACGACAGTGAAGAAGTAGCATTTGCTGGTTTTCTGAGCGACTGCCACGTAACCAGACCGTGCAGCTTACAGTAGCGCGACTGCAGAAGAAGAACGCGAGTTGTGGTCATTGCTTTCTTCGAAGACTGTACGCTTCAACTCGCCCAATAAAAAAAGCTCCATCTAAGCCTCGTCTTTATAACCTTTTTTTAAAGCATGCACCTGTATTTATAAATCTTTTAGTTGAGAACAGGTTCAGGCGTTGAGACTGATTTGTTGGCTAACAGAAGAATTAGTGCGTAGGAAAGGTACAGTAGAGAAAAACGTTTGGCGTAGCAAAGGTAGGGGCCTGCATATTAAACAAGTGGAATGTGGGTGTAGAATGTCTTGAGGGAGTAGGGAGTGCGCGATGTAGGAAAAATGTGTCTCAAAAATATGCGGTTGAGTCAAGACAGATGTATTGGAATAGTGAGGAAGGTGTGATTTGGGAGATCGATGAACTTGGCTCGGGATATGTGTGGGCTCGCACCGCTAGTACCAAGGGACTAAATGGCGCGTCGACATCCGATTGATATTACGGAGATTAGCTCGGACACGCCGCGGGGACACAGCAAACGTGAATGTCTCCGCCTGCTGCGCCTTGTGTGGCGTAGACGAGGTGATTGTTGAGCCACGCGTTGTGTGGTGTAGATGAGGCGAGTTTTGGGCTTCACCTTGTGTGGCGTAGACAAAATGAGTTTTGGGCTTTACGTTGTGTGGTGTGGACGAGGTGAGATTTGGGCTGCACATTTGGTGGCGTAGACGAGGTGAGTGTTAGGGTGTGATCGTTACCTTGGGTTAGGTTGGCCGTAAAGCTATCGTAATGCTGGGTTGAGTTGGCGTTGGCCGTTGACCATGGTTGAACTAGTATAAGGTTGACTAACGAGAAGCTCATTTTCGCGGATGTAGTTTGTTGTTCGCCTGTGACGTCACTGATCTCAGTGACGTCACGCGGTCACGGTCATTAATCAATCACCGAAATGCGTTCAAACCTGTCAATCAATCCGTCATGGAAATGACCGGTTTGTTTACATTTCTCGATCTACGTGACGTAACAAGAAAGCTGAACTGAAAGACGGAACTTCTCGTGGGTTAACCTTGTATAGTGGCGTTGACGTATATTTATTCGATGTGTGGTTGATTTAATCAACCTTTTTTCGTTGTTTTACTTGTATAACCACTTGTAATAATAAGCGTTCTAATGTTTTAAATGCAACATTTATATATCATAACCCCAATATCAAAAGAAAAATATATGTAATGGATTTGTTATGTTCTGGGCTGTGTTTTATTACAATCAAACTGCTGCTGGCTTCTCCATTGTTTCCAATTTGCATTTGCCGGCTGGCATACTAACCTAAACTGCGTGCCTCGCGCAATACGTTCCAGATAGCGAACACTTTCTAAATTATGGAAGAGTCTCTTCTGAGATAATCTAAGTTCATCTATGAGGAACAAGATGAAATGCTTGGTGAGGCTTCATGTGACCTTCAAGCCAATGGCTGCTGTAGTAATTAAAGCATTTGAGTGCACAGCGAACTGCCGTAAAACTAGCTCTCTTAGTACTCATCCTTAAAAGCTTTGACTCGATTTCGAATGGCGACTTCCTCGTTTTAGAATTTAGATTAACTAAAAACGGGACTCATCTTAGATTGCTCATACCACTTCGTAGTCTACTGCTCACTTTCGTGCAGTGTCGGCTATGCGTGTACAGGAGCTTGTATGCGTGCGCAGATGCTTGTATGAGCACAGTCCAGTGTCGGGTATGCGTTTTCCAAAGCTAGTGCGACGGCTTGGACAGTGCAGAGCTCGTTTGCGTGTAGTGCAGCCAATGCGCATGCAGAAGCTCACGTTCGTGCAGTGCATGCTATGCGTGAACGAGGCGCCAAACAACATTAGGTGCGAAGGTCAAGTCACGCAACAGAAAACGGCACCTCTGAGTGATCGAAATCGCGGCTGGCGATGCAGTGCAGGAATTCTCGATCACACATCTCAGTTCATCGTGTATCTCTTACATGATCATGTGCATTGCGATATTTTTCCTCGGCTCGTAAGTGCGTCAATCCTTATAGTAAATAGTGTTAACTAATGAAACCAATTGATTGACGGACGCATCAGTGGTAGCGAGAACAGTTTCTAGTGTCCGTGCCCAACGCGGACGCGCGCGGCCTGCAGTTACTGGCAAAGCGTTGTGTGGGGAGGTGTGGCTCGTTTTCGCTGGCAGTGTCGTCAGACAGCATTGTTGGAATGAGACGCATTCTTCGTTCTTTAAATCTGATAACAGGGAATAGTTTTAAAGGCAATATATAATTTTTCTATCGAAATAAATATTTTAATAATGTTATGATTCCTAAGTTCTCAAAAGCACATGGACAAAGTTACGAGAACTAACGGGTTCGTGAGATCTGCCAGAAATGAAGTGGCCGCTGCCGATGAATGCGTGAGTGACGAGTCGATTATCAGTTTTTCTACCCTGGACCCGCATTCTGCCACCTACATACTGGAAGTGCGCATGCAACAATGAACGGTCGCCTTGGAATTTGTGGACGTCATGTAAAACTTATCACACCCCTCGCAGGCAGTTACACCTAAAGTCGTTTCAGGCTTTCATTTGTGTGAAGACACACAAATGAAAGTACAACTTCTAACTGCCGACGACACTTCTATTCTATTCTACACTGTTAGGAAAAACGGCCAAAAAACGGTCCCACTGGCGTTCTAGTGGCCGGTCGCCCCGTGAAAATAAACGGTTTCGCCGTTTTTATCAGATGTTTTTCGGATTTCTTGCGTTAAATTAGAATAAAAACGGCGACACGGTGTTTCTTTTCACGTGCCGACCGGCCACTGAAACGCCGGTAATACCGTTAACGGTAATTTTTCTAACAGTGTAACTCATCGCTCAGAAAATGACGAGATAATTTTATTGACTTGAACCCGCTAATTTCTTGTTTCTGGTAAGTGGAAGTTTGATGCAATTATTACCTATGCTATGGTGGGCACTTCTTGACCATAGCTCGAGGTGACATTTGTGCCTAAAGGCCGAGGCAACGAAGCAAGCTTTCTCATTTAGTCAGTCGGTACGACTGTAAACTTGTTCAGTTCAAGAGGAGACCTCATAGGCATAACACGTTTTTTCAATAAAATTTTTTGGAATTACTACCTTTATTATAGGATAAAAAGTTAGCTTCAGGCTTGTGCTTGGCCATTCGTTCGGCAGCAGTCGGTGATCGGAGGTTGGCGGGAGCTTCCTCATGCTGCCCTCATTAACATGGGAGCAGGCAATGCCAAGGGGCTTCGTAAGAGCGCTTCTGCTGACGATGTCGACGATAGATCGGTGACCAGCGACGGCCAATGGAACGAAGGCAGAAAGCATAAGAATGACAGTCCGGCTCCACAAGCTCTGAATGAACATCAACGCTCGAAATCGTTTGACTTGCCCGCTTCCTTCAACACGAGTGCACTGCAGGTGGTGAAGGAGGACGAAGATCAACCGAAAAAGGAGGTCAAGAAAGGGTTCTTCAACTTTCGCTCGAGAGAAAAAGAAGGAAGCAAGTCAGAGGACGATGACAATGACTCCGATTCCGAGGCGAAGGAGAGCGGCGGCAATCGCCGCTTCAAAATATTCGGCCACCGCAAGAAGATCAGCAAGGCGCAGAAAGACGAAAAACTGGACAGTGATATTAACGATCTCGAGAAGACTTTTGATTCCCTTGGGATCGTTGGTAAGGACGCCACTAAAGATGGCGGCGGCAACAAATCGAGCATGAGAAGCAAAGACGACCTGGAGGCGTTAGAGCCCATGAGGAACAGAATGAATGTTCGCATCTCGCGTCCCGTGCGTGAGCTCAACGGAGTGACGACTGCCAGAGACATGTACGGGCGGAGAGGTTCTGACTCCACCAGCGGTAGCAACAATGGACGTAAGAAGTTTAATTATTCATGGGAGAATGATGAAGAAAATGCTGCGCCGGTGAGGCAAGACGAGTGGATCTATCAGGCGGTGAGTTCTATACTGAAATGCTTCGTCTCCATCTTATTATTGTATTCAACGTTTCATACATTATAATGCAATAAACTTATTTTTGCAAAACAGTAGATACTTGATTAAGTTCTCACGGTATCAACACTCACATCAACGAGCAATTGAGAGAAAATATTAACATATTTGTAGAATAAAATTCCTATTTCAACCCTTCAAGCATATACGAATACTCGAAATAACTTTCCCAAGTCAACACTCGTTGAGTGTTAGCTCAGCGGCTTGCAGTGCTGAGCATCGTTCCTAACATTTCATGTCTTTTGGACGCGTGCACCGGCCAAAAAATTAGTTCGCTCGAATCGGGCTCAACTGTCCAACGAGGTTGAAGTATTCCATTATAAATGACTTTAATTGATCCTATCCTACCATCGTAAAAATTACCAAAAACCAATGACGGTTAGATATTTTTGCATATAAAGCACTCAATCTTCGGTCATGGAAATTGATGGTACAAATCGAGCAGACAACATTGAAGGAGTCTTGTCCTATGAGAAATAAACTGGCAAAATTGTAGTAAATTGTCTCACATTCCAAATATTTTGGGTGAATAAACCTTGCCTTCGTCATTTTTTCCAGGTCCGCATCGAAGGTTTCGATGTCAGCAAATTCAAGCAAGTGAACATGCAGGTGCGTACAGGTTAACATGAGGGTGCGTGGCACTGGCACAGGTTAACATGCAGATGCGTGGCACTGGCACAGGTTAACATGCAGGTGCGTGGCACAGGTTAACATGCAGATNTAAGAATATAAGGTTGTGGTGAGAACTTACGACCAGGCAGCGCTCGCCTGTTGTCGTAAGAAGCTATAAGGTTGTGGTGAGAACTTACGACCAGGCAGCGCTCGCCTGTTGTCGTAAGAAGCTATAAGGTTGTGGTGAGAACTTACGACCAGGCAGCGCTCGCCTGTTGTCGTAAGAAGCTAAGGTTGTGGTGAGAACTTACGACCAGGCAGCGCTCGCCTGTTGTCGTAAGAAGCCAAGGTTGTGGTGAGAACTTACGACCAGGCAGCGCTCGCCTGTTGTTGTGGTCGCCAGGCTACGGCGCTTCGTTGCTACAACACACGAGCACGCCAAGTACACACTGTGTGTACGTGCAAGTTGTCTATACACTGCGTGTGCGTGCTCGATGTATACACTACGTGTGCGTGCTTGACATGTACACACTGTGTACGGGCTAAGTATGTGCACAATTCATTTGTACGTAAACTGTGTACCCGACATGTCTGTACACCGAACCGTCCTAAATGCACCTTAAAAAATAAAGTTATTATAGTTCGTACTCATGGAGGCTATATTCTCATCGCACAACTGTCATTCATGCGCTGCTAGTCCTGCGTACGCAATAACAAACTTAGTAAACTGAACTTGACTACCTATCACAACTGTGATTAAAAACACTGACACTGATTTGGCAAAAAACAATTTGCGAAATCACTGTGTGATCTGGCAAAAAATCCTCTTATCTAAGTTAAAACATTTGGAACTTCAAACATCTATTAGTGACACCACAATGTTTAACTTCACTCCGCCATTTTTTCCGGCCTTCATAATGCCACCGAGGAAGGCCTGGCAGTTCCAGGCCTTCCTTAGGAAGGTCTACTCGTACTTTATATTTTCTAATAACTATAACGAAGTCTGCTTGCTCTTCCAGGGCGCCATGGAGATGAACATGAAGGGCAGCATCTCAGCGCCTGTCAGGTGAGGCCTGGTGGCCCTTCAGGGGGCGAGCCAAGTGTGCCTCACTAAATGTGCCAGTCAAGTGTGCCTCACTAAGAGTGCCAGTCAAGTGTGCCTNTGTCGGTCGAGGGTGCCTCACTGAGTGTGCTGGTCAAGTGTGCCTCACTGAGTGTGCTGATCAAGTGTGCCTCACTGAGTGTGTCGGTCAAGGGTGCCTCACTGAGTGTGCTGGTCAAGTGTGCCTCACTGAGTGTGCCTCACTGAGTGTGCCTCACTGAGTGTGCTGGTCAAGTGTGCCTCACTGAGTGTGCCGGTCAAGTGTGCCTCACTAAGAGTGTCAGACAAGTGTGCCTCACTGAGTGTGCTGGTCAAGTGTGCCTCACTGAGTGTGTCGGTCAAGGGTGCGTCACTGAGTGTGCCAGTCAAGTGTGCCTCACTGAGTGCGCCGGTCAAGTGTGCCTCACTGAGTGTGCCGGTCAAGGGTGCCTCACTGAGTGTGCCAGTCAAGTGTGCCTCACTGAGTGCGCCGGTCAATTGTGCCTCACTGAGTGTGTCGGTCAATTGTGCCTCACTGAGTGGGCTGGCCAAGTGTGCTTCAGTGAGTGTGCCAGTCAAGTGTGCCTTACTAAGTGCGCCGGTCAAGTGTGCCTCACTAAGTGTGCCTCAGTAAGTGCGCCTCACTGAGTGTGCCTCAGTAAGTGCGCTTCACTGAGTGTGCCTCACTGAGTGTGCCTCAGTAAGTGCGCCTCACTGAGTGTGCCTCAGTAAGTGCGCTTCACTGAGTGCGCCTCACTGAGTGTGCCTCAGTAAGTGCGCTTCACTGAGTGTGCCTCAGTAAGTGCGCTTCACTGAGTGTGCCTCAGTAAGTGCGCCTCAGTAAGTACGCCTCACTAAGTGTGCCTTAGTAAGTGTGCCTCACTATGTGCCTTGTGCTGGCAGTGGGAGCGGCGCGTACTCCGCACGTCCCCCATCGTCGCCGCTCTACGACGCAGACGACCACAACATCCTGCAGAGCATCGAGCGCGCCCTCGAGTGACGGAAGGCCGGCGCCTTGGAGTGAGGACGAACGACTGTGCTCGCAAGCGCTGGAGTGACGGCACTCTAGCTGGCGGTGAAAGAGCAGAGTGTCAGAGACCAACAATCTCCTTCGGCCTCAGGGTGACTCGTGTAACGCACTGAGAATTGTGCGGTGACCAATCCTCCCGCCCTTAGGCCGCTACGGGGTGACAAGTAACACACAGCGCTCTGACTCTGGGTTGCCGCTACTCTCTATATAGGCACAGAGTTGTTGGTGGTACCCAGATCGTCTTGACAGAAGAGCTGCGATAGAGCAGAGTGTCGTCTTGACAGAAGAAGAGCTCTCCTCTACTCTGTAAATCTCGCTCGCATTCGCAAGTTTGTCCAATGTCACCTCATACCATTATAATCCTAATGGCTACACAACCGTTTAAATATATGGATTAAAATATATGATCCTGTAACCGTATGCATATCATATTCCACGCCATGGCCTCGTAAATAAGACCTTCTCACGTTATTTAACCCTCTACCGCCATATGTCACTCTCCGGGAACATAACTTTCAACCTAAATTATACGTAAACTATTGAGTGTAGAAACTTGAGGGCGTTTGTACGCAACAGAGAACATTTTTAAGTTGTCGTACGTGGCGGCAACCATCAGTGCAAGTCATTTTGCGCTCACTAGCAACGTATCCTTTTTGGAAAATAGGCTTGTAGCAATATTGCTCCGGTTACTGGTTACTCATGTCAGGCGGTAGAGGGGGCCGGATAGTTTCGAAATAATAAAGTTATAGCACAGTCATGGTATACGAAGAAAGTGTAGTTTTCTATGAAGTTGCTCACATAAAGAAAACGTTCACAAATTTACATGTGTAACTCCGGAATTTTTAAATGTGATTGTCTGTTGTCTATAGTTATCTGTAATAATAGATTGTATAGTAAGGAAATTTGTATTCAATGATAACCTTATTTAAAAATTATTTAAATAATCATGTAAAATCATTCAACCTTGGAGCATTCGTACGAAGCTTCTGAAACATTTTCTACCTGTGCAAGTGCAAAAAGTGAAATTATTAATTCAAAGAAAGAACGAATTCGATATTAAGAATAATATCATTTATACTTTTTTGCTAAATGTTAGGCTGAAAGATAAAATAAAGAACAAACTATAGGTTGTTTGAACATCTTTTGCGTGAAGTCTTTATGACGAACAATTCGAATTGAGAAAACTTGGGAATAATCCCAGCAGCAGTATCCACAAGATCTCAACTTCAGCAGCGTATCCACAAGATCAATGCCCATCAATCATTGTTATTAAACACAAAAGCAAGTTTTAAAAAATATGCACTCATCTTTTTTCGAAAGTTAATTTGCTCTGTAACTTAGAGGAAGGCATTGCTCTGCAGTTTACGATTTGCTCCGGCCGCATGGACCCAAGTGCAAGGCTGGGAGTGTAGACAACGGCTGTACACAACTGGCGTTACCGTCACTCTGAAGTGATTTCATCTCTCACGAAAATAGATACCCAGATAAATTAATTCATCCCATTTCCTTAAGACTTACTCCGTGAATTGTAATGCGATATCGTGCTCTACAGCGATGGACTGTCCATCAGCGATCACTTTCTCTTCGGCTGCGTAGCCTATCCATCACTCGAGCCGAGATCATACATACACAAGTTGAGCACGACGTAGTTGACATCTTTTCATGCTGAAATTATGTTGATGTTGTAAAAATTTTTCTATGCTGGAATGATATGGATAGTGTAGACATCATTTGTGACAGTCGTCATATGGAAGACGAAGGTTTGTCCAAATGTTCAGCTTCATTTTTCGTCCCGTCAAGTAAAGCGAGATTGAGCGCAGTCGATTACTGTGGGTAAAAACAGATAATTTTCAAACACAAATTTATCAATAACAACTTCAGTTCGGTAATATGAATTATTAACTTTTTCCGTTGCTATTTCATGTGTGTTTTGAGTTGACATTTAGAAGAGAGTGACCACAGAATAGGTTAAATGAACATGGATTATAAATTATTAACCATCTGTCCGAGAGTAAATCCTGGATGCAAATTCTAATTTGTTTACTAGCAGACCTAGTTAGCTTTTACGTAGTCCATTGTGTCACTGAGAAGAGCTTGCCTCAGACGCTGAGTCAACAGCTTATGTAGCATGTGTGTCTCGAGGACAAGAACCCTGCGGAGGGATGTACGAAGTCTATAAATGGGCTGGGAACCTTAGTAAGGTCCCCAGTGACTGACAAGCACGCTACCTTGTAACATTCGTTACTTAGAGCTACTCCGACCTAATGGCCGACGACTTAGCACATGCCTGTATCGTATCTCAAATAACCACCTCGTATCAAGATAAGTTCTCTAGACAGATGGTACCTTGCTTATCCCTCACACAGTTAGTCAACGAATCCCTGCCTACAGTCTCAGGTGGAACTAATAATATAATCATTCAGGTGGCGTATATAATAATATAATCGTCGCCTGACGTGTGACGCCCGAACAGTTTGATTAATGCTGACTTGTAGCGCCCGATGTGATAACAGCCGTGTTTTCTTCAAGTGAAACTCGACTGCTTGACTATCATTGTGAGATTTTAAATACAGTGGTGAAGTGAAAGACTTATAAAGTGTTTGTGATTATAGCAACACTATCGCATAGTGATTTTCGTGCGGTTAAGCCTTTCAACGGATTGTTTCTGTGATGTTAAACTAATTTAAACGTCTGATCAACGAATAATCCAAGAAGACCTTCATCTACTAATTACACTACTTCAGCAGCCGAAAACTGTGAGAAGATTCACGTTTTGACTTGTGCGATTCAGTATTTCACCTACAACGTCAAGTCTCTTACTGAGCCTACGAATGATGCAGAGACGGAGTTGAAGCGTCTACGCATCGTTTTTTGCGTTCTTCGGAATCCGGTTCGAACATACAAAGAACAAATAAATGTGAACATACAAATGTGTGACACCACAACTTAGTCGTGATTGGCACTCTTTCCTTCGTAAGCCGTAGACTTGATGAAGAAACGGGCGACTATGAGCGACTGCGGGCCGGCACCAGCTGAAGATCGTGGAGTACGATTACAAAATAACTAAATAAGTATGATTTTCCAGATGTAATAAGTCCCAACCTACTTGCTGCCACGGCCGCTCCGGCAGCAACGAGGCTCTAACTGGTTCATTCCGATTTTTCCTACGATGTATCTGACAAAACACACACTTGTCTATAAAGCTTGACAAGTCCTTTGCTATGTTGAGCCTCTATACAGACAACTGTATGTCTGTATCCTGCGTCTGCACTTATGGAGTCTGAGATGACCGTCGTCGTGCACTCTCAATTTCCCGACACCACCGTCGCTTTGGCGGGATCGTAATAATAATAATAATAATATAATTATAATAGCGGTTTCAGCGTTATTAGGCCGTAGGCCTATCGCCGATTCTTAACATCGCAGAACATCCACAGCTTGATGTGGTGTCGAACTCGCAACTCACTGCTCCAACTTTGCTGTGCTTAACCGCCCGGCCTCCTTGCCGATTCTGACCAGAAACTGGCGCACAGAGCTGGGATCGAACCCGCTCCTCTCTGCGCCAATCTTGGCACTCTGAACTGTAACCACTGGGCCACCTATGAAGAAATATGCTAGTTGGGGAAACTACTTATAACTCCTTTCATTTGCTCAAACTTGCTGCGGCTACGGCTCGTTCAAATTCCACTGTGCATCTTTCCTGGGCAACTCTTTTAATGGGGCCAAAATTATTTACGCTCTATGAACAAATTTAAATAGAATATTAAGCATCCCAAGGACCTTACTCAGCTCGTTCACATATCCAGAAGTTTCCAGCCGCATAATTGCGTCTAATTTCCCTGATCTATTTGAAATTCCATATTTATTGACCACGTGTCCGAGAAATTTAATTTCTTCCTTATTAAACAAACACTTTCAATTTTAGACCGCTCTTCCTAATTCTATTTAAGACGTCGGTTAGTGCTGAATCGTGCATCTTTAAACTATTAACAGAATCATTGCATAGGACGTTAAGCAGGTTTTTAGAAATTACAAATAAACCTAATAACCTAAGCAAGTCAAAACCTAACATGCATTGGCAATATCGGTTTTCTGAAAATAAACTCAATTAATATGGGAAAACCATATAATTATTCGATGAACTGCACGTTAAATGCTATATAAAACGGAGTAAAGCAGATTCAAGTCGCTTGGTAAAAATCCTAAGCTATAGTATAATTAACCCTATCATCCGATCTTATATTTTATAGAAATTGATGTCTTTTGCGTCATTAAATTTAAAATTTTGTTTACTTCACGAGAATAACATAGCAAGCGTCACTTATGTGATACTTTAGATTACGTATTGCTTGGCAACCTCTTGCGACGATACAGTCAAGTTAACACCAAATTTTTACTTTGCTTAGAAAATGATCTATATTTATAAGAATCAATGTACATACCTATATCTCAGTTGTGGTTATGATAATTCAAGATGGTTTGTGGGGTGTTGTATAAAGTTTTTGACTGTTTTATATTTATAGTGTTGTTGTTTAGTTAAAGTTGGTACTGTCGGTGTCGTTTGTATCGTAAATAAGGACCATTCAGTTCAAGTTGTGCACTTAGCACTTTTAGTCTTCGTCTAAACTCTAAATCTAAATATCTAATTCATGACTAATGTTCAGAATACTTTTTACAAATCATTTCTCAGATTGTATGACTGTAGTGTAGGTACGGACAGCCAGCAGGCAGCACCTGTTAGGCTGTTCCTGTTGATTCATTTAGCTATTAGTATTAGTGTTGAAGTTGAAGAGCGAAGTAGTACAAAAATATTTGTAGGTACCTAATTTATAAGTTATAAATGACGCACAGGTTACCTACCTACCAATTTTCTCATACCCATTAATTAGTGATTAGCTTGATTGGAATAATCCTCTAGAGTGAAATCTTACAGTTACAGCTCCAAGTTTCAATGTTACACATTGTTTTTATTAGGGTAAACGCGGTATATTCCGTCACATTAAGGACGCATCGAGAAATGAAAAACTATAAAAAAATAAACGTATGTGTTACTCAAGTTCTGTTTGCTTTATGTGACTCTCAAAACACCTCACTACACATCAGCAACAACGAAACGTCACAAAATGTTGCCATATTTATTTAAAAGCCTTTAGAATGCAAACCTACCAAATCCCTATATTCAGTCACTGTGTGTGGCTATATTAGGCACGTGGTGAGGCGCATAGTGACAAACCAGAGATTGTTTAGAATCAGTTCATTCTTAATTTCCTCCTTTACTCATGATTTAAACCAATTAATTAAGTATGATAATGCTGGTATCCATGATACTTTACTGGTCTACTTATAGGACTCAAAAATGATCTTTAGACAAGAGTCTAAAAAACTCTCTGCTTTGCCACTATGGTGAGGCGTAGGTATTCCGTCCGCGCTTCAAATTCTACTGATACATAATGCCGTCATCCATGTGTTCGAATTCCGTTTGCTGTGTGAGCTGTATTGGAATACAACACGGCTTTGAATTAGAACACTAATGAATATTGAACACTACTTAATTACGCTTTTAATTAACAACTATTAAGCTCTTAATTAAGCAAATTTTAATTTTTGTACACAGCTTGGAACAATCTGTGTGTGTCCAATTCAAGTTGTGATGGAATTAGTTTTCATGTGTCTAAATCCATTTCTCAACTTGATCATCTATTAATTTATTTACCACTTGAGATCAGCAAATACAAGTATACTTAAAGGATTTCTAATATATTCACAGACTGTCAGACATGTTTAAAAGTCTCAAACCATAATATTCTTCCTATACAAACAGTTATTCACTATTTAGTAGAGCAAGGTCAACTGTCAAATTTGACACATTTTTTGCTGATCTCACTGGGTAGCGTGCATTGTCTCTCTTTGGATCTCAATATTTTCCTGCTTGATGGCCAAGACCTAGTGTTTTGGCAGTAGTTTGACGCACAAATGTATGACGTCACCATTTCAACCATCAACGAAGGCATGGAACTAAAACAAAGCTTAATATAAAGGAAAAACTAGAGAGGTGACGGAATTACCCACGATGTCGGAATATACCGCGTTTACCCTAATTTGGAATTTTGCATCCTGATTAGCTATTCAGTTTTATTAAAAGTTAAATTATATATATATACTTTAGATAGGATTAGGAGATAATTCACCCAGGTAGGATTGAATTCCATATATGATGTTAATTTTTGATACTGCTTGGCTGTTTTTTTTTTTCTTGTCCAAAAATTTTTGTAGGTAAAGATAGAAAGGAAGAAAAATAGAAAGAATTAAATTTGCACTTGGAAGAAGAAAGCAGCAACACAGATACATAAAGATTTTAATTAGAATAAATAAATAATAAATATTTGTCTTTAATTTGTTTCTATAGTAAACACAACAAATTAACCTTCATGAACTAATAACTATAACAAATCATGCCACAAATAAGAGTTCTACGCGATGAACCGTTTGAATACAGCAGACTTCTCAAGGCAGCACATAGCAGAATCATGTTATTCATGTACAACAGTACAAGTACATGGGAATACAGCAAAAGCACTTGCGCAGCTATGTGATGTAGCTATGGATACAGGATACCGGATTCCAGTTCCCAATGCAGCAGTGCATATCAATAAACTGTTGCCAAGTATTTTATACCAAAAACTGAAAAACATTAATTGTAAATTTAATTTAAAATATCAGTTGAAATAATAACTAAGGAAGAGGAGCTGATTCAAGAAGCCTCATCTGGCAATCTCTTTGTTTGCAGTCTAATTAACTTTAATTGATTGTTCTAAATAGTAATAACTAATAATAATGTATTCAGTCAAAGTTAATTTACATTTGCACAATTTCTGATGAAGGTTTTAAATATTTTTTACTTGTAAATAATGAACAAATTTTTTTCTTATTTTCGTTTGAGGAACGAAAACAATCTAATTAGAGCTCGGAGTTTTAGGCTGTTTGCTTTGAACATTATAAAGCTCTATTTGATCTTTAGATTGTTTCTTCCTCGAATTTGTGTTCCCATGAGTTCGTTCGCTTGAGGTATTCCTTCAAGTGATAAGCAGGGCATAACGCATGTTTCCCAATCTTACTCTTAGTCTTAATATTTAAAATTCAACTATTTTGTCATTTCTAAGAATTGTCATTTCTATTATATTTGTCATTTCAAAGGCAAAATTATATAATGGTTGAGAATGTTACTACAATAATTTTGTATGTTGATTTGTTAGTTACATTTCAGAAACTGATATCCATGCAGAGGTCAAGTGTATAAGAAAATTCATTATTTGCAATTTTAACAATTTTTAATGCCAAGGAAGAATAGACAAAATTGTTATATGTATAAAAAAACTGCATAAAGACTATTTTGTCAATCATAATTTATAAACTAATCAATTATAAATATGGAGTTGAGTCATAGCCTAACATTGAATGAAGAAGCTTTGAAGCAAATACCAGATGCCAAAAAGCCTCTTTTTATATATGAATGGCTACGCTTCTTGAATAAAATTATTGGGGCTGCAAATAAGGTGAGTACAACTTTCCTATTATTTGATTTTATATATACATTTTCTGGATACTCAATTTTTTAGTTATTATTTAGCTCAAATTACATGAAATTTGAGCACAGCTAGATATTTTTCAATATTGATTCCATGTATTTAATTCCAAGAGAATATTGCAAAAAAATATGTATTAATTTGTGAGCTAAATCTGCATTTTAATGCTGCTTGCCATCATTTAATTACAAACATTTTGTATCTTTTATACAAAAGAGAAGTTCAGACTTCATTGCAGAAGTCCCTACAGCCCGACGCAAAAGGTTAGCCCCACCCCTTCAAAACATCATAACACATCGAGTTTTGCGAGTTTTATTGTGCAAGTAGTGGCAAACGAATCGTCTTGGTCTCAGTAATCAAAATACAATAGACTGTAGTGAAAATGTAATTAGTAACGGAGAAAATGAAAAACACATGTTTTTACACCGACGCAAAAGGTTAGCCCCACTTTGCACACTTTGACATTTTAGGCAAAGCAAAACATACGTCAGCTGCAAAACTAAAGGTTATTTACCGATATGCTCCCCGTTGGCTTTGTAGACATCCAAGCACCGCTTTTTCATGCCCCGAGACAATCTACGGAGGTAGTTGGGGTCCAGATTGGACCAGGCGGCTTGAATGGCCAACTCAAGTTCTTCCTTCATGGCATACTGCTTCCCGCAGGCGTAGACAATCCCAGCCATGTACCCCCAGACGTTCTCAATGGGATTCAGATCGGGGGACTTGGCTGGCCAGCCCATAACCCGGATTTTGGCATGCTTGAAGAAGGCCTTGGTCGTGCGCGCCGTATGGATTGAGGCACTATCTTGTTGGAAGATGGCGCGGCAGCAAATTTGGTGGCGGATGACGGGAAGTAGATGGTCCTCGAGCATTTGGACATAGTCGTCCGCGCACTGGTTGCCTTCGAGGAAGATGAGCTCGCTCGTCCCATTTGCATGAAAGGCCCCCCACACCATTACACTGCCCCCACCATTTTGGCCGCTAAAAGCTGCCTTTGGATCATTCCAGCGGCAATGCCAGTAGTACTTCAGACCATCTGGGCCATCCAACTTCCATTTCTTCTCATCAGAAAAGATGGTTTTGACTCAGGTGTCATCACAAGTACTTGCATACTTTGTGCCCCAGGCGACCCTGGCATGCTTGTGAGCCTCGGTCAATTGGGGGGGCCTTGTTCATCTTCAGGTATTGGAAAATGCCGGAGGACGGGAGGGTGCGAGAGACGGTGGACTTGGAGACATTGAGCTCCAACTTTTGGACTAGTTTGGGTGCACTCAAGTTGCCAGGCGCCGCAACTCAGAAGAGGCGATGCGTGTCACGGGCCGACATCTTCTTGGGGCGGCCTTTGGTGTGCCGCTTTCCGTAGTTCACGGGGTCCTTGAGATAGTTGGAGATGGCTTTGCGGCTACACCCCACTTGTGCCTCCATTTGACGCAGGCTAGGATGCTCTCCCACAGGCAGCACCATCAGGGCTTGAGTGGCACCTTTCTGAAACTCAGTTAGAGGCTTTCCAGCGCCCATTTCTTGCCTAGGTGAGCGTAAGATCCGTGCACAACTACTACGCTATGAACGCACCCTTTGCAGCGAGTCTACGCTGCGTCCTGTCCACAAGAGCGCCAAACTTGCAAAGTGGGGCTAACCTTTTGCGTCGGTGCAAAAACACAGACCGCTTGATTTTTCCGCCAGTAATTAACTTCTTCACCAAATTTTACCTGCTATAGATTGCAGAGCGCAAGACAAATCGTTTGCTACCATTTGCACGTTAAAACTGGCAAAACTCGATGTGTTGTGATGTTTTAAAGGGGTGGGGCTAACCTTTTGCGTTGGGCTGTATTACAAAATGTGAGAATAACTTTGAATTTGTGCAGTCAGACATCAAAGGATGTCAGGAGAAGTTGGTTGGTCAGCTGATGGGCCAGATGTCACAGTGTGCCGGAGCTCCAGCTCGGCAGTTGGTAGCCAGCGCCCTAGCCACCCTCTTCAGTGTGGGGGATACTTTCTTGCTCTTTGAAACCATCAACAAATGCAATGATGTTCTTAAGAACAAGGATGACTCGCCCAGCTTCCTATCAACACGATTGTAAGTTATTGATCAAGTATATCATGCTTGGTTAAGTGTTGATGGATAATTGTTTCATGGCTTTTTTATTTGATTGTTATGAGCTTGAATATTTCTTGATCATGTCATGGTGTGATTTATTATACCGTATATAAAGATAATTTCTTACATTTTTCAAATTCCTATTACCAGGTAACTTGATTTTTAGCAGAGAATTGTTTTACTTGGATATAGATTTAATTTGTTTTATAAATATTATCATATAAATATTAGATGTTAAACTGTTAAGGGCTGCTGTGGCTTGTATTGGTGCTATGTATGAGAGGCTGGGCCGCATGATGGGCCGATCCTATGAAGAGACAGTGCACATCCTCATCAAGAGCCTACGCAGTGCCGAGTCTCAGCTCCGAGTACAGATCATGGTCACTCTTGAGAAGGTATGATAATTTGGACCCAGCCTCCGCAGTGCCGAGTCTCAGCTCAGAGTGCAGATCATGGTCACTCTTGAGAAGGTATGATAATTTGGACCCAGCCTCCGCAGTGCTGAGTGTCAGCTCTGAGTGCAGATCATGGTCACTTGTGAGGAAGCATTATAATGTGGCCAGCAGTAACTTGTTCTGACCTCTTCAAAGAAAGATTTGACTTGGAAGTGGCTTGCAGTGACAGCTTTTTTCGGATATTCCTTTTACTTGAGCACATTACATGGAGGCAAAGAAATATTCCAAACTAAAATTTACTCATTCAGTGGATATTTGTGCTCCTACTTACAGGTTAAATGCTGAAAAAATGCCTTTGTGTTGTTTAATAGTTCATCTACTTAAGGTCCCAGTAAGTCTTGATCCAGCTGCTCCCACTCAACAGAGTGGACTGCCATGCAATGCAGCTGCTCCCACTCTCCAGAGTGGACTGTCGTACAATACAGCTGTTGCCACTCAGCAGATTGGACTAATGATGCACTTTTAAACACTCTAAGAATTGTCCCTTTAAGTTGAAGGACATAAATAAGTAAGGACATTCAAATGAGGTATAATGTGCAGATCACGGCCGGCATGGGCACCGCTGCCTCGAACGTCCACAAAGACATCATCAAGGCCACCAAAGTTGGACTCACAGACCGCGCCATGCCAGTGCGTCGGGCTGCCGCCATGGTAAATCAACCCTTTGTCTACTGCCGTAATTCTCGTTACCAGACCTTTTGTTTCAAATACCATTGAAACTGATGATGGATGCATAGACATGAGGTGAAATTCTGCAGCTATTTTGCTCACTACACCCGTCCAACCATCTCGTTCTGAAGCTATCAATAACAAATGATGATTTCATTTCAGAATCTGAAACTTAAACCTGTATTCATGGTGTGGCTATATCGTGACAAGTTCTTCTATATAATTCGGCTATTAATAAGACAATGAGTATGGAAATAGGCAATATGTCTAGTAGCAATATTAAACACAACCTAACTGATTATATATTTCTACCTGAGGACAAGGATTCGTTGACTAAGTGTGTGAGGGATAAGTAAGACACCATCTTTCTAGAAAACTTATCTTCTTGAAACAGGGTGGATACATGAGAGTTACTGCACAGTATACGGGATGGTTATACATGAGACTTACAGTACAGTATACGGGAGGGTTATATATGAGAGTTATATTAGTGGTAAAAGCATAAGATGTCGACCGTTAGGTCAGAGTAGCTCTAACGCGAGTTATATGTCGGCATACTTGTCAGTTACTGGGGGCCTTACTAGGGTTCCCAGCCCTTTTATAGAATCACGGCTTCCGCCCAATACTGAGGTCTTGATCGCGTGATGTTGTCCATGCTGACTCAGGTCTAGTACTTTTCTATCAATCTCTACCACGTCTAGTGAAAATTACGTCTCAATTACAGATCATCTAATCTTAGAATATAATTATAATGAATATAATAAGACGCCTGATTGACACCCGACAAATAGGTGCAAGTGAGCAGTGAATTGTAAAGATCAAGACCAAAGGCTGTACCAAGACCAAAGGCACTAATGTAATGACCAAGACCAAAGGCACTGTGTTGACTGTGCAGTGCCTCGTGGAGCTGAGCAAGCACGCAGTGCTGCTGTACACTACAGACCTCGAGCACATGTGCACGCTGTGCATGCGGGCCCTCGAGAGCTGCACCTCCTACGACGCTCGATGTGCTCTCACCTGCCTGCTGGGGAGCCTCCTGGCCACCACACAGTGTCCTCCTAAAGATGTCCTCAGAGGTAAGGCTTGCCACCACACAGTGTCCTCCTAAAGATGTCCTCAGAGGTGAGTCTTGCCACCACACAGTGTCCTCCTAAAGATGTCCTCAGAGGTGAGGCTCTGAACACACCCATAAAGCGATGGATTTATTTCATTTATTGCAAGCTCGATGGCATATAAATGTTGTAGGCTTGAGCCCTATATGTTGTAGGCTTGAGCCTTATATGTTTTCTGGCAAGTTAGAATGTCCGTAGGCTCAACTCATCAGACGTTCTGTGTTTTAGACGTTTTATAATAGCTGTGATTGAAGAAGTACTGCAAACTCGTCAAGCCAGTTAAACTTGATTCCTGATTCCTTTTAATTTTTATAACCAGTTGGAATAAATGTTAATCTATCGATCTTAAAATTTTTTGTTGTTGCAGCGATCCAAAGCAACAGCAACAAGAGCGCGCCACGCCTCGTGTCGCTGGACGAGGCCCTGGCGTTGCTAGCGTCGGGGTTCTTGCGCGGAGGCACGAGCTTCCTGAAGGGGGAGATCATCAAGGGCTCCTCGGGCGTCACTAGGGAACTAAGAGTAGGAGTAACCCAGGCCTACGTCACCTTCGTGCAGGAGCTCGGGTCGTTGTGGCTGGAGAAGAACATGGCTTCTTTCCTGAAGCACATTTCCGAGGTGATCAGCAACCCTAAAGCCAGCACCTCCCACGTTGACGCCGTCTACTCCAGGAAGTGCGTTAGCTTCATCCTGCGCAGCACGCTAGGCCGCATGCTGGGGGAGAAGGCCCAGACGGTCGCATGTAAGGAGATCACTGCCATCATCACGCTGCATATGAACGGCGTCGACGTCAGCAATGACAGTAACGACGTCAACAACGGCGGTAGTCAACATGTGCTTATATGCATGCTGCTTGAGCTGGGTAACCTGGTGCTGGCCCTCAGCACGTCCAGTTCCTCCACCGTGCTGGACCCTCATCTCGGCATGATAGATTGCGTGCTGTCCGTGCTGCTGCATCCTAACTTTGCAGCACGCTTGTCGGCCGCCTGGTGTTTACAGTGCATATGTGTGGCGCTGCCCTCGCAACTGCATCCTCTCATCGCGCGCTGCTGCGATAAAATCGATTCCTTGAAAGCTTCGACTGAAGCCATTGCGGGCTACAGCTGCGCTATCGCTGCTCTCGTGGGCTGCGTGTCTAGGACGCCTCTAGGGATCCCTCACTTGAGGGGTAAAGTTGTCTTTAACCTCGCAGAAGAACTACTGCGTTCTGCATCACAGAACTCGCGTCTGTCTTTACACAGAACTCAGGCCGGCTGGCTGATCATTGGTTCTGTGATGACCCTTGGGGTAGCTGTGGTCAAAGGACTCCTGCCAAGGATGCTGTTGCTCTGGAAAAACTCCTTCCCGCGCTCCAATAAAGAAATAGAGAGCGAGAAGGCCCGTGGAGACGCGTTCACGTGGCAAGTCACTCTGGAGGGTCGGGCTGGAGCCTTGTCATCCATGCACAGTTTCCTCCTCCATTGTCCTGAGTTGGCTGGTGACGATGCTATCCGCCGGCTGCTGATGCCTATAGAGTCAGCGCTACTGATGCTCGTCAGCATCTCGAGCATCGTGAAGCAGCACGGCCAGCAGCTTAAGGCATCAACTGCGATGGTGCGTCTCAGACTATACCAAGTGCTGACTCTTCTTCCACCGCAGTCTTTCGAGGGTCACTTCAGTACTGTACTGAAGCTCCTCGTGAGCGAGTTCACCCTCGCTGAGAGCGGCGCCAACACGAGCTCTTCTCTCCTGCGCTTCATCTGCGCCTCTCACCACGCCCCGCTGCTGTCCCCAACCCTTCACCACCCCGACTTGAACATCCTGGAGGAGCAGCTCTACTCCAACGGAGCTGCTGGTGCTCTAGAGCACGACCCTACCTGCCTATACAAAGCCTCGAGTGACACCCCACATCCCCTGCCGTTAGGCGTCGCAGTTATTGACGCGTCCGTCACGCTCTTCGGCCAGATGTTCCCTCTTGTGGCCAACAAGAACAGACTTAAGATGCTTAATCTCTTCATAGAGATGATCCGTGCCAGCAAGAGCCTGAGACAAGAAGCTATCCTAACAAACATTTTGTGTGCGTTGCTCATTGCCCTCAAGAGATTAACTGATACCAAAGGTTCTTTGGGGCAGGAAGACGTCAAAAAGACGACAACGGCGCTGCTGATGGACGGATTGAGTCAAACTAACCCTTTACTGAGATGTGCGTCGGGTGAGGCAATAGGACGCATGGCTCAGGTCGTTGGGGACCCGCACTTTGTAGCCGCCCTTGCGCAGACCAGCTTTGATAAATTGCGTAGCGCCCGAGACGCCACCAGCCGAACTGGGCACTCCCTTGCTTTAGGTTGTCTACATCGCTGTGTGGGGGGGATGGGGTCGAGTCACCATCTCAGCACCTCCATCAGCATCCTTCTGGCCCTGGCCAAGGACTTCACAGCTCCCGTAGTTCAGGTCTGGGCGTTACACGCACTCTCCATGATAGCAGACTCCGGTGGTCCGATGTTCAGTTCGTACGTGGAGCCGGCGCTGAACTTGCTGCTCGACCTGCTGCTGTCGTGCAGCTCGAGTGAAGTGCAGCTCTGTATCGGCAAGTGCTTGCAGGCTCTCATCACGACTATTGGACCTGAACTGCAGAGCAGCGACAGTGCTGTTGTAAACGAGCGTTGGTCGCTGCTGTGCGGCTGTAGCCTTGTGCAGCAGCATTCAGATCCGTTTGTACAGGCCGAGGCTGTGACTTGCCTGCAGCAGATGCACATGTTTGCTCCCCGCCACGTAAACTTATCGTCGCTGGTGCCCATGCTTGTACACAAGCTTTTTAGCAAGCACTTGTTCCTGAGACGAGCCGCTGTGAGTTGTCTGCGGCAGCTTGCCCAGAGGGAGGCTCTAGAAGTATGTCACCACGTGCTCGCTATGTCTGCTAACAACGCGTCTGGGACGCTCGAGTCTGACAAAGAGCAGCACCAGATTCCTGAAAGTGGTCTTCCAGGTTTGCTTTTTTCGTTGCTGGACTACGAGAACGACCCCGTGTTAGTGAGTCACGCGCAGCACACTCTACTCTTCACGCTACACGCGCTCGCACCCACGCATCTCAGGATGTGGCTCACGCTCTGCCGCGAGGTACTCACCAATGCCCAGGACGGAGCCGCTGACTCTGGTCTCAAAGATGGATTGGAGCCTACAGCTGATGACGAGGACCTCGTCGAGTTCCATGCAACTATTGACCCCGACCCCCACCCTGCTCTGCCCCCTCGTTGGACATCGCGGGTGTTTGCTGCCCAGTGCGTTGCTAAGATCATCAACGAGTGCGGTGACTCAGAGGCGCATTTGGATCTTTCAGTAGCGCGGCAACGTGCCGCTAAAGGAGCGCAGGCGGAGTACTTAGTACTGCACTTGAGCGAACTCATCCGCATGGGCTTCATAGCTGCCACCTCCGAGAGCGATCAGCTGCGGCTGGAGGGTCTGACCATCCTACAGTTGGTCATAGATAAGTTTGCTAAGAGTCCGGAGCCCGAGTTTCCCGGTCACGTGATCCTTGAGCAATACCAGGCTCAGGTGGGGGCTGCCTTGCGACCAGCGTTCGCTGCAGACACGGCGTCGCACGTGACGGCGCGTGCATGCGAAGTGTGCAGTACGTGGATAGGCTCAGGCGTCGCCAGAGATCTGAACGATCTGCGCAGAGTTCATCAGCTTCTAGTGTCTTCCCTTCGTAAACTAAACGAGGCGTCTACTCAAGGCCTCTACAACGAGAGTGCCGCAACGCTAGAGAAACTCGCCATTCTTAAGGCTTGGGCTGAAGTTTACATTGTATCTCAGACCGGAGCGGCCCAACACAAGGCTCTGCCGCTCAAACAGCGAAGAGCTTCTGACCTGCCGGCCGGGCAACCTGAAATGCAAGCGTCTGGTGTTCACGTGACCGAGCTTCCAGATAACAAGTCCGGCGAAGAGAACTTAGGCAATTTAGTGGCGCCTGAACTGCAAAGTTTGCCGCAAAATTGGTTGGCTGCCCTCAAGGACCACGCGATGCTGGGACTTCCTCCCGAGTTCGCAAGTCAGCTTCCCCAGAGCGGCGGGGCGTTCTACAGCAACGAGGCCATCGACAACGTCAGGGAGTATTACCGACAGGCCTGGGGGCCAATGCTTTATGCCTCGGCCTTGTGGCTCAGCAATTGTCCTGGTGAGGACCTTGACACTGAAGACCTCAGGAGCGCCAAAGGCACTCTAGACAACTCTAAAGTGGGGCGGGAGGACGCGAGGTTGGCTCAAAGGTCGCAAGAAGATCCATCGGCGCCCGTCAACCTCATGACCGCAGACCACTTCCACCTGCTGCTGGGTACGTGGTGTTGGTGGCAGCAAAGTTTGTGTTGCGATAACTGTGATAAATGAACTTCAATGGCAAGAACTAGCTAATTTGCCGTCACTGCAGTGAATTGCTGTACATCACTGCAGTGAATTGCTGTACATCACTGCAGTGAATTGCTGTACATCACTGCAGTGAATTGCTGTACATCACTGCAGTGAATTACTGTACATCACTGCAGTGAATTACTGTACATCACTGCAGTGAATTACTGTACATCACTGCAGTGAATTACTGTACATCACTGCAGTGAATTGCTGTACATCACTGCAGTGAATTACTCGCTCGTTAGTGTAGAAAACGATCTTAGAATGATTAAATTAACTGAAAATTATATTTTAGAGTAAAAATTTTTGGTTCTGTATGTATTTAAAATAAAATGAGCTATTGATCAAGGACAACATTATGTCTCTGGTAATTGCTAAACAACGTGTCTACTTCGTCAGGAACGTGCGTGTGCTACCTCTGCAGCGGGGCGTGCGAGGAGACCCAGGAGGAGGTGTGCCTACTGGCCCTCCACACCCTCCTGCCCCACACCCTCCCCTCCGCCATCTTGGCCGCCAACCCTCCCCTTGCTGTAGAGATCGTCTCCCTCATGCACAGGTAGGCTAGTGTGTCATGCACAGGTACGCCAATTGTGCCTAGTGTGTCATGCTGCACAGATGGGCCTAGTGTGTCATGCACAGGTAGGTCTAGTGTGTCATGCACAGGTATGCCTAGTGTGCCTAGTGTATCGCGCACAGGTAGACCTAGTGTGTCTTGTGATGTCTGAAGTGTCTTGCCGTGTGATGATAGAGTGTGAGAGGGCATAGAGTGAGTGGGGGCATGGGTATGAGAGTGAGTGGGCTAACCTCCCCGCCCCTCTCAGACGTGTGGTGAGCTGCGACAGCGCCGCACTGCACCAGCTGAGCGTGAGTGTGGTGGAGTTGGTCATAAGAGCGTCACTGGACCACCTGCAGCGCATGAAGCACCAGCTGCAGCAGTGCAAAGGGCGGCCTGCCAACCTGCGTGACGGGGACGCTGACCTGCTGGCTGAGGGCGGCGACACGGGCGAGATCAACCCCAGCAGTAGCCTGGTCTTTGCAGCCCTGCAGGTTACAGTGCATGCCTGTATAATTATATCTTATATTGTCTTTGATATAAATAGGTAAAATAATTAAATGAATCTGTGGGGTATATAAAGTATTTTATTCGCCGCTTTGCAGGTTGCAGTCCATGCCTGTACAGTTATATCTTATCTTATCTTTGATAGAAATAGACAAATAATTTCTGTATGTTTATTAAATCTGTAAAATAATGAGGTATATAAAGTATTTTAATATGTGACGAGCAAATAATTAAATAAATCTATAAAATAATGAGGTACATAAAGCATTTTAATATGTGACGACTGTGGAATCTATCTTATATTAGAATTAATATAGGGAGAGACTTGAAATTCTACTTTGAAGTACATTGTGCATTGAAGTGCATTCTATTGCCATGTATGGCGCAGTGTGTTATGAATACGACAGTGCCATAAATATCGCCATAATTTATATATATATATTTTTTTTTTTGTGCAGTGTGTCATGAATCGGCATAAGTGCAATAAATATCACTTAATTTCTTTGCTTTTGACAGGTGTGCCTCTGCGTCATGGTGCGCCACGAGCCCTCAATTGCGCCACAGGTGAGTCCCGACACATTTGTTGCTGCCAATACAACGCGTCTTGTGTTGCCGCCAATACAACGCGTCTTGTGTTGCNCAGGTGCGTGTGAGGCTGCCCTGCAGGTGCGTGTGAGGCTGCCCTGCAGGTGCGTGTGAGGCTGCCCTGCAGGTGCGTGTGAGGCTGCCCTGCAGGTGCGTGTGAGGCTGCCCTGCAGGTGCGTGTGAGGCTGCCCTGCAGGTGCGTGTGAGGCTGCCCTGCAGGTGCGTGTGAGGCTGCCCTGCAGGTGCGTGTGAGGCTGCCCTGCAGGTGCGTGTGAGGCTGCCCTGCAGGTGCGTGTGAGGCTGCCCTGCAGGTGCGTGTGAGGCTGCCCTGCAGGTGCGTGTGAGGCTGCCCTGCAGGTGCGTGTGAGGCTGCCCTGCAGGTGCGTGTGAGGCTGCCCTGCAGGTGCGTGTGAGGCTGCCCTGCAGGTGCGTGTGAGGCTGCCCTGCAGGTGCGTGTGAGGCTGCCCTGCAGGTGCGTGTGAGGCTGCCCTGCAGGTGCGTGTGAGGCTGCCCTGCAGGTGCGTGTGAGGCTGCCCTGCAGGTGCGTGTGAGGCTGCCCTGCAGGTGCGTGTGAGGCTGCCCTGCAGGTGCGTGTGAGGCTGCCCTGCAGGTGCGTGTGAGGCTGCCCTGCAGGTGCGTGTGAGGCTGCCCTGCAGGTGCGTGTGAGGCTGCCCTGCAGGTGCGTGTGAGGCTGCCCTGCAGGTGCGTGTGAGGCTGCCCTGCAGGTGCGTGTGAGGCTGCCCTGCAGGTGCGTGTGAGGCTGCCCTGCAGGTGCGTGTGAGGCTGCCCTGCAGGTGCGTGTGAGGCTGCCCTGCAGGTGCGTGTGAGGCTGCCCTGCAGGTGCGTGTGAGGCTGCCCTGCAGGTGCGTGTGAGGCTGCCCTGCAGGTGCGTGTGAGGCTGCCCTGCAGGTGCGTGTGAGGCTGCCCTGCAGGTGCGTGTGAGGCTGCCCTGCAGGTGCGTGTGAGGCTGCCCTGCAGGTGCGTGTGAGGCTGCCCTGCAGGTGCGTGTGAGGCTGCCCTGCAGGTGCGTGTGAGGCTGCCCTGCAGGTGCGTGTGAGGCTGCCCTGCAGGTGCGTGTGAGGCTGCCCTGCAGGTGCGTGTGAGGCTGCCCTGCAGGTGCGTGTGAGGCTGCCCTGCAGGTGCGTGTGAGGCTGCCCTGCAGGTGCGTGTGAGGCTGCCCTGCAGGTGCGTGTGAGGCTGCCCTGCAGGTGCGTGTGAGGCTGCCCTGCAGGTGCGTGTGAGGCTGCCCTGCAGGTGCGTGTGAGGCTGCCCTGCAGGTGCGTGTGAGGCTGCCCTACAGGTGCGTGTGAGGCAACAAAATCCACCGTTCAACTTGACGCTGTTGCTCTAACAGTCTTGTGCTTTATTGTTCTGAAGCAACAGCAGCAAGTGTACTTATACACGAGTATAAATACATGTTCTTATACACATATACACCTTTGTTTTGAAGCAACTGCAGCACCTGTACTACCTTTGTTCTGAAGCCTATAAGTAAGAAAGCTATTACCTTAAAATACTCGAGAGCAATACTGAGCTGTAATACAACTGGCGAGGTTTCAGTTACTGCGCCAAGAATTATTTTACAGAAATTCACTTGTTGTGTGCAAATCCAGTTAAATAAGGGGTCCTCAATTGCTAAATTGACTATAATTTATAATGGCTTTCGGTAGATCCCCATGTACTTCTATTTAGCTCGTATGATTCACTGTTGTCGCTGCTAAGTCCAGTGATCGAGCAACAAGAGCCAAGCAAGATCTTGATATTTGTTATAGTTTTAGGATAGTTTATTTTCTAAATTATCGTGGAGTTATTCCTTTAAGTGCAACCTGTAACCTTTTCAAACCGCTTTGCAGGAGGCGTAGCAGTGCTCCCTACCCTCATGTTCCTGACGACGGGCATGCTGAGGGCTTGTAGCGTCTCCACGTCATGTCTTGACACCTCTTCACCCTCTGGGGGTAAAGTAGACCCTGACAGAGGGAAAAGTGAGGGTACAGACCTTGCCAGAGGGAAGAATGGTGACTCAGATCCTGCTAGAGGAGAGGCTGACAGCAAGGACCCTTGCAGAGCAGAGTGTGTGCTGCTCACCGCCTGCTGCAGGACGCTGGCTGCCCTCTGCAGCCACCCCTACAGAAGTGACCCTCGGTCTGCAGACCAGTGGTGCCGCCTCTTGCAGACCGCCCTCGCCTCCACCCTCGACTGCGCTAAGATATGTGAGTGGTGGCCGGTATAGTGGTGGACACGGCAAGAGAACGGGTGCGATGCTGTACGCGTTTACTTGCAGTATTTCATGTGTTATATGCAGTGTAGAATTTCGTGTTGAACTACGGCGTACACGCCTTATTGAGGAGTATCATGCAGTGTTACAGGCCGTGTAGCATATCGTGTTACACGTGTTACATGCCGTGTTACATGCCTTACATGCCGTGTTAAATGTGTTACACGCCGTGTTACATGCCGTGTTACACGCCGTGTTACATGTGTTACGTGCCGTGTTACACGTATTAACTATAACACCATGACAGGCCTGGAGGAGCGCGAGGTGAGCGAGGTGGCGGTGCTGAGAGCCGTGACGGCGTTCGTGGTGCACAGCCCCCCCTGCGTCACCGCTCCCCCCACCCTCCGCTACCCTCTCCTCAACCTCTATAAGAGCGCCGTGCACCACGCCAGCGTCCAGGTACCCTCGGAGGCCTTCAGGTATCCTCATGTGCTCCTAGGCATCTAGCTACCCTCACGTGCACCTAGGTATCCTCTCGTGCTCCTGGGTATCCTCTCGTGCTCCTAGGCATCTAGCTACCCTCACGTGCACCTAGGTATCCTCTCGTGCTCCTGGGTATCCTCTGTCTCTTATACACATCTAGATGTGTATAAGAGACAGCTCGTGCTCCTAGCTACCCTCACGTGCTCCTAGCTACCCTCTCGTGCTCCTAGGTATCTGTCTCTTATACACATCTAGATGTGTATAAGAGACAGCTCCTAGGTATCCTCTCGTGCACCTAGGTATCCTCTCGTGCTCCTAGCTACCCTCACGTGCACCTAGGTATCCTCTCGTGCTCCTGGGTATCCTCTCGTGCTCCTAGGTATCCTCTCGTGCTCCTAGGTATCCTCTCGTGCTCCTGGGTATCCTCTCGATCCTTTCGTACTCCTAGGTATCCTCCCAATATTCATGCCGCGCCCATGTTCCCTCCCCCCTCCCCACTCTGCTGGTGGAACTTCAGCTCAAACATCATGTGTGTGCAGGTGCGGCTGTGTTGCTGTGAGCAGCTATACAGAATATTCAAGGAAACAACAGCACCTCTGAGTGCTGTGTTTATACAGGCCCTGCTTCCCCGTCTGCTGTACCAACTACACAAGCTTGCAACCGAGCCTCTAGACTCGCCTGCTACCGACTCACCTGCCTCGCCTGCCCCAGACTCGGCGCTCGAGCTGCGCCTCTTCCACGTCCTTCTCGACGCCATCCTTCTCACCTTCGATAAAACGCTTCCTAAATTCCGTAAGTCACGTCGAATTTTTTTTCACTTTTGCACCCATGTCTTTATTCAATAGTTGTATTATAGTCTGCAGTTGTTTTAGCGCTTGAGTCTGTACATAACCATCATTAGTTTTACCTATTATTGCTAGAGTCACGAGTTTGTTATTGATAGTGTTATAGTTCTAAGTTTGTTATTGATAGTGTTATAGTTCTAGAGTTCACAGTTGTTACTTCTAGAGTCAGGAGTTTGTTATTAATAGTATTATAGTTATAGAGTTCATAGATGTTACTTCTAGAGTCGTAAATTTGTTATTAATTGTGATATAGTTTGTTCTAGAGTTCTTAGATGTAGCTTCTAGAGTTTGAAATCAACTGTTGTCACCGAGTGAACTCACAATATTTTCACTTAACAAGTTCTGGAGACCAGTTTGCTATCCGCAGCTGAAAGGTCCCGTGTATTGTCAATAGAACGACTGGAACATCAAGTCCTGAAAAAAAAACAAATAACCGGGCTATGTAAAGTAGAAAGTTGTTGGTCAGCAATTTTATGTGGATAACAAGAATCGCTTTTAGGACATTGTTTTTGCCAAAAGTATACAATCAAAATTACAGCTTGGTGAATTATCCAGTCATTGCTTATGCTTTTCAATACTTAGTTCATTTGCGACTGAAAAAAACAATATAAACTATACTAGTTCGATCTAGATTACATATATCCTACGATTAACGATTAGTTCCAAACTTAAGAACTGATTATTGTTAGTTCTAGACCTAAGAACTGATTGTCCTAAGTTCTAGTCCTAAGAACTGATTGTCGTCAGTTCTGAAGTTAAGGACTGATTTTCCTTAGTTCTAGACATAAGAACTGATTAATTTTAGTTCTAGAGCTAAGAACTGATTATCTTTAGTTCTAGAGCTAAACATTCACTGATGTTACAGGGTGCGAGCTGCTACACGTTGTCGTGTCGTTCCTGGTGGAGTGCAGCAGCGGCAGCTCCGCCCTCTGCAGCGTCGCCCTCAACAGGCTGCACACCCTCGCCCCTCTGCACCCTCAGGTACTGTCCCTCTCCTCTACACCCTCAGGTACTGTCCCTCTCCTCTGCACCCTCAGGTACTGTCCCTCTCCTCTGCACCCTCAGGTACTGTCCCTCTCCTCTGCACCCTCAGGTACTGTCCCTCTCCTCTGCACCCTCAGGTACTGTCCCTCTCCTCTGCACCCTCAGGTATTGTCCCTCTCCTCTACACCCTCAGACCCCGCCCACGCCTCTACCCTCATACCCTTCCTCAGCCACCAATCGTTTTCACGTTACACTTGTGGGTGCAATGGCTTCCAAGCTTCTTACACTGAAGTATTTTTATAAAATTTCAATCATAAGTTCGGCGCCATTAATTTGCTGGTCATAAAAATGCATTGCTTTTCATTATCATCTGTATACAAGCGCGCAGTTAGACTGAAAGTGACCGAAGAGTAGTATTACAAGGGTTGAGATTCTTCATTTTTTTTTTGGCTGCCAAAGCCACTGCGCAAGTGCAGCAGCCAATCTCAGCGCTGTGGCCTTCAGCGCACTGTAAACACCCAACGAGCTCATTTAAGTAAACCGCCATTAATATATTATTAGCTGTAAATTGATACGTAGTTCTTTATATTCTCAAATTTCCATGAAACAATATAGCCTTGTAGCTTACCAATGTGGGGGCGGAAAGTGAAAAGTTTGTGTAGTGTATGAGCATGAGTTTGTGTAGTGTATGTACGTGTGTTAGTGTAGTGCAGTATGTGTGGCCCCTTCATCCTCACCGTCCCATTTCAGGAGTTCCGCGAGGTGATGACGCAGCGCCCTGAGCTGCGTGCCCGCCTCGAAGCCGCCATCAAGGCCCGCCAGTCCGCCACTGTCGCACCCCAGCCCCCGCCACCCACCGGAATCTCCCACCACACGCCCTCCATACAACTCAAGACTGACTTCTCTAATTTTCACTGACGATTGAAATGATTTCATCGCTAGAGTTTATGATAATTTTTGTCCTATTGCGTTTCAAGGCGACGTTTTCCTCTTGTTGACGAGAACGTCAAAGTCTACAGAGATCTAACCGGTGTACTTCGACCTTCGAATGATACATTTCTACTTGTGCATCGAATGAAACATTTTCTAAGCGAATGCAATAATGTTCCATGAAGTTCTGGCTCAATTCAGAGGATCTTTCACCACTTCCCTGCTTCGAGTCGTTGTCTTTGCTCTACATGTTCCTATTTGATTACAATTTTTCATTATCGGATGGCATTGATCTATAAATTAATTGAACGAAAAATTGCTCAACTATCGTCATTTTTTCTTCGCTGTGAGCAGGAAACTAATCTTTCAATTTTACTTAATTACTAGCGGTCATCTGAGCCGCTGTACATCAACCCTTCCTTGTTTTTGCTGCTTCCATCCAAGCATGTAGCTGTTCTGTCTATGAGCTCATTCATATCCCAGCATTGCAATTTCTAGTTTTGTCTGGGACGATAAGAAATTGTATATTGCCCAGGGACCTGGAGCTGTAAGTTACATGCTACTCGACGGTAGCTTCCTATGCAGTGCATGCAAATTATAAATGCTATAATAATCATAAGAACCTAGCGTGTACGATGTTGTTATTGTGTAAGAAACTTATAATATCAAATTGGATTATGGTTAACAAAGCCCAAAAATGAGTCGTCAATTATTTATGAATATTAATTTTTTTAAACGAGTGCTTTCCTTATCCAAACCTTGGCCGCCAGTGTTTCTGGTACCACTGTACGAAACAGCGCATGATAATTTATAAACATTGTATTTAATAGTTCATTTTATTGTGATTGTAAGAGGACAGGACGCGTCGAACGTGTCACGTCACATCCGAACAATCAAGTGACAAGAATCACGAACCAAAACGACGTCTATAACAATTTATACAAGTATGGTGGCCATATGATGAATCTTTGAACAGTGCGTTCATGTAACATTTGTGAGTGAAAAAGATTTCAGGAGAATCTATAATTATTTTTTTATAAATCTATAATATATTCATCTATCTCCAACATTCATAATAGACGCTATGTAAGGCAGTACATAATTGTACTTAATTCAGTGCCCATCATTCTAACAAAAAAATGGACCCAATTGAAGGAATTGAAATCAACTTCTGCAGGTTCTTTATTAGTCGCAGTCTCCACAAGAATTGAATGGCTGCGTCTAACCCCGTGTTGTGATCGCCCTCCACCCTAGAACGGGTCTCCTTACTCCAGTATCACACAACCTCTCTCCAAGAAGAACAAGCCGACGACCGAGTCAGGAAAATGCGGCTTCGCATAAGAAGTTTACGCAGCATCCATCATTGCGGCCAAGAATGCCATCAGTTTCGCCACTGCCGCCACTTCAGAGACCTTCATACGCAACTACCATAAATAATTCGTATCTGCTTTAGTGCAGGAATGATCGAAGCAACTCCAGGTCTCATAGAGCGGACGTCACGAAGCTGACAGGCGTCCACAAGCCAGGGTCCCAAAGGCCAGTCCTCTTTTGACTGCTGTCGGTCGCGACCGCCCATCACGTCCTCAACTCGACGTTTAGTAACGCGTCAGGGACACAAAGCACCGAGCTAGCTAGTGTCCGTTAGTAACGCGCCCTGTCACTACCCAGCGAGTGCGTGATGGACGGTTTGCAGCGCACGCAGCAGTAGCTTAACCTCAGCAGCCCGAAGCAGACGCGTCCTTCCCTGACCGTTTCGTGACAGTCATGGTGGTGAACACCTGCCATGGGTGCGAGAACATATTAATAACATTCGTGATGGTCACGGTGAAGATATTAATAACATTCGTGATGGTTATGGTGGTGAACGCTTGTCGTGGGTGAACATGGGAGACAGGTCAAATAAGCTCCCTATTATCCAGTTAAAACTACGTTCGACATTAACAAGCAGATATTTTAAATAATTGCTACAATATTAGGAATTAATGGTCTTATGTGAACAAGGCTCATCTATTTATCAACGTTGCACAACAACTGAGACGTCCGTCCAAACTTCCATACGCGTTTAAGATATCTGGCTGTGGGCTGGTCATGCATAGACCTCTTGAACACAATCGCACTGACAAGCCTCTGCACCCACGCATGCCTCTGCACCTACACCATGCCTCTGCACCCACACCATGCCTCTGCACCCACACCATGCCTCTGCACCCACACCATGCCTCTGCACCCACACCATGCCTCTGCACCCTAGCACCCACACATGCCTCTGCACCCACACATACCTCTGCGCCCACACATACCTCAGTACCCATACATGCCTCAGCACCCACACGTACCTTAGCACCCACACATGCCTCTGCACCCACACATACCTCGGACCCACACGTACATCAGACCCACACATACCTCAGACCCACACGTACCTCAGCACACGTCGGATGTATGCCGACAAGGTCGTCGAAGTTTTGTTTGGTGGCGCCGAGCTGCAGAGCGATGGCGAAGCCCTGGGTGATCTCACCCGCGTTGGGCCCTACGATATGGAAGCCCACCACCAGCTCCTGTATGTGCAGAATAATGTCAAATATTATTCTAGTTTGCCGCTACAAAATACTGGGGATGCAAAGAATCTGCAACTGTCAAATATGTTTACTTCATGAGATCTGTTCGTGCGAATGACGAAAAATTCTAGGCATCCTAAATTGTTTAATGAGTAATACTTGTGTGATCAAGATGATTAGAGAATGGTTGGATAGTAACATGAATAATTTATTTATGCAGATACCAATTGCTAACGTTTTAGTGAAGCACTAATTGAGGAAACGCGTCATACGATACTATTCAGGTGCCTCAGAAGCGGATTACAAAGACCTTCCTATGCACATGAATAAAGGAGAGGAAATAATAGAGGGACTAACATTTTGACTCTTGACGCAAATGAGCTTAGCATAGCAGTCGCTCTCAGGTCTGTGCGCGACGGTGAACTCGAGGGGCCAGAAGCCGTTGTGGTAAATCTCTACGTCCTCCGCCCCATACTTAGTGATGGCGTCTTCCTCGCTCAGCCCACAGCAGCCGTACTCCAGGGGCGTGAACACCGTCGTCGCCACATTCTGGTAGTCCATCTTCTTTGTGGCCCCTGCCGTCACAAGGGATTATACAGCACAAATGTACGAAAAATTATGATGATATACTACCCAAACTGAATTAAAAATGACAATACCAATGAGAACAGCAGAAGCTCTAGTGATGACATTAGAGAAGCAAAGGCATTAGAGGCGGGAGAAGCAGGGGCGCTGTCAGGAGCAGTGAGAGAAGCAGGGGCGCTGTCAAGAGCAGTGAGAGAAGCAGAGGCGCTGTCAGGAGCAGTGAGAGAATCAGGGGCGCTGTCAGGAGCAGTGAGAGAAGCAGGGGCGCTATCAGGAGCAGTGAGAGAAGCAGGGGCGCTGTCAGGAGCAGTGAGAGAAGCAGGGACGCTGTCAGGAGGGAAGCCCGGGTGCTGTCAGCCCGGTGTCAGCCCGGGTGTCACGCTGTCAGGAGCAGTGAGAGAAGCAGGGGCGCTGTCAGGAGCAGTGAGAGAAGCAGAGCTGCTTACAGTAGCAGACACCCACCGCCGTATAGTCGCCTGGCGAGGAGCCTGCCGGCCTGAATGGCGACGGGCGTGAGCTCGAGTCCCGCCTCGATGACGTCCCCAATGGCGTACACGTTGGGGGCGCTGGATTGCTCCTCGTCGTTGACAATGATCTTGCCACTCCTGCGGAGAGGAGGACGCTTTAGGACACTTGACATATAACTGATGCTCTTGAACTGGCACAGAGACGAGGCAACTTACGACACTTGCGTCACGATGAGACACGTTTATGACACGCGAGTCAGGATGAGACAACTTACGATACTTGCGTCACAATGAGACACCTTTACGACACATAATTCAGGATGAGACAACTTACGACGCTTGAGTCGCGATGAGACAGGTTTATCACACGTGAGCAAGGGTGAGCTGAGACCCGTAAGAAGCACCCAGTTACCGCAAAATTGACCACCCAACCAGCACAAACTACATCCTCTAGCAATCCTAACCTCAACCACCAGCAAACTAAACTACAGCAGCAATTAGCCCTAAACGTCCACGTCCAGAAACTCGTAACAAGACCCAGCGGTCACGCACTTGGCGAGGGTGACGCCCGCGTTGTTGAGGCCCATGTCCTTGGTGCAGGGGTCGCGTCCTATGGCCAGCACGACAGTGTTGTACTCATCACTGAACGTCCCCTGCTCATCGCTGGTCGCAGTCACCCGCACCAGCCCAGGGGTGCCTTCCTCCACCTGCAGTATAGACATGATCTTCAGTGATGTATACGGGGCAAAGTATAGCGTGTACGGGGAATAATACCGTATAGTGCTGTACACACTAAACCTGTAAACAAAACGAAACATATGATAAGCTGTAGTAGAGTGCGAGACAAACTGAAGTAGAAAGTGCACAGCAACACACGCTGCAATGACTCATCAAGTGTATGGCGCCATGCATGCAGCAGAAACCTTCCTCAATAACTGGAGTGGGCATTATAGGCGGTCGAAACGCCTTGATGCCCTCTCACAGGGCCACCTGCTTGTTGAAAGGTAGGACCAGTACCGCTCCTCAAAAGCACCCACCTGCTCAAAGAGGGTGGGCACAATACCGCTCCTCAGGAGCACCCACCTCCTCGAAGAGGGTTGGCACAGTACCGCTCCTCAAGAGCACCCACCTGCTCGAAGAGGGTTGGCACAGTATCAGCACCGCTCCTCCAGAGTACCCACCTGCTCGAAGAGGGTTGGCACAGCACCGCTCCTCAAGAGCACCCACCTGCTCGAAGAGAGTGGGCACAGTACCGCTCCCCAAGAGCACCCACCTGCTCGAAGAGGGTTGGCACAGCACCGCTCCTCAAGAGCACCAACCTGCTCGAAGAGAGTGGGCACAGCACCACTCCTCCAGAGCACCCACCTGCTCGAAGAGAGTGGGCACAGTACCGCTCCCCAAGAGCACCCGCCTGCTCGAAGAGGGTTGGCACAGCACCGCTCCTCAAGAGCACCCACCTGCTCGAAGAGGGTTGGCACAGCACCGCGGATGAACTTGACGCCTTGGCGCTCCATGTAGTCAGCCACCTTCTCCGCCATCTGTTGGTCGAACCCTCGCAGGAAAATAGAGCGCACCTGCACACAAGTGGAGACTTTAAATGCGCGCTATGTCTATACTTTCAGCATCACCATCTCTCATCTGCATAATGTGCATCACCATCCCTCCCGAAGATTAACTTCCCGTTGAGGACACAAGTCACGGAGGTCCAAGAAAGTGGGCATTGACGCCAGAATTTATCTGAGCAATTAAAGAGGCCAAGATACCTTACATGTCATTGCCGTAAGCAGTAATCGACTCTTAATCCCTACAATTGTTTGGGGCACGGTTACAAGGAATGTTTAGATCAAAAATTAGATTCAAGTTGAGGTGAGCAACCCTGACTAGAGATGAAATCCTAGGATTTCATCTCTAATCAGTTATATAAATTTTACATAAATCCTACATAAGTTGCCAAGTTAAATAAATTTGAATTCGAGGTACACACATGAGCAGAGGTAAACAATTAAAGGAGACATGGAGGTCAGTAAAAATAAAATTACCATGACGGTTACGTCAAAGCCTAGAGCCGCGAGGAAGCCGGCGCACTCGAGAGCGATGTACGAAGCCCCCACCAGGAGTGTCTTGCCCGGGGGATGGCTCAGCGAGAAAAGGTCGTCCGAGGTTATGCAAAGCTCCCGCGCCCCTGGCAGGTCCGGGTACCTGGGCCGCCCCCCTACAGCCACCAGGATCTTGTCCGATGTGATGGTTCTCTCTTTGCCGCGTCTGTCCACCGTCTGAACAACAAGGGTAGGAAATTAAACCCTATTAAGAGGCCCAGCACGTTACTGGCGTCACGCTCTAGATTTTAAATGTAGCACCTGAGGACAAGGTCGGGTATTGCTCATGCTACTGTTACCATGCCCATTCTTTTACTAATTCATTCTAACGACACAGAAGTGACCCACACACTAACATTGTCAATTGCAGACGATACAAGAAAAATGATGAGGGTTACACATTAACTGGCCAGCGAGAGGCTGGAGGGTGAGGATCTTGAACTATACTCGTCAAAGAGAAGTTAGAGGTAGATATACCATACTGTACACTTGAATGTTAGAGGTATATGTAGAAGATGGAGAGACCTTAGAGGTATATCATACTGTACACTTGGAAGTTAGAGGTATATCATACTGTACACTTTGATGTAAGAGGTATATGTAGAAGATGGAGAGACCTTAGAGGTATATCATACTGTACACTTGAAAGTTAGAGGTATATGTAGAAGATGGAGAGACGTTAGAGGTATATCATACTGTACACTTGGAAGATGATAACGAGACAAAATGCTAACTTTAACAGTTATAACATCAGAACAGTGACATATTACAGTGAAAGGAGGAGGATTCTTGGCAAGATATCCTCATTTAACAACCGCGCTGCGCCCCGAGTTCGGAAGAGATCACTGTCCTTAGCAGGACCGGCTGTTCAATGTCTTGTCAAAGAAGCTGAGAAGAGGGGAGTTCACCACTAAAACTTTCAAAATAAGACTGAATGCGTTTTTGAGCACGATTCCGGATCCAGTTGTGTCCCACTACCATCAGCAAGAAGTGAGCTACAGCATCGTGCTGACGGAGGGACTTTCTGGCTCGAATTTAATGTGTTGTATCCTATTTACATATTTATGCCCTCATGTCCAACAAAATTTAATCATTCAATACTTCTCTTAACTTGAAAATCAGGGTTGGCAATGATTAAATCAAAATGATTAAATCATGTGATTAAATCACTTGATTTTTTTATAAAAAAATCATGATTTTTTTTATTTATTTGATTTTTTTTATTTTTTCATATATTTAAATATATTGAGTGTCAGTCTTAAATTTATATTGAGTTATTGTTATTCATGGTTTAGTATAAATGTACTATGAATGACAAATTGGTATATAAACTTGTTGCCTTTAGTGTGTATTAGGTTCCAATAAATTGAATGTTTTTGGTACAGAGGCATCAAGTGTGCAATACATTGTACATAGCTAGCAGCTTAGCTAATTCTTATAAGGTTATAAGAAGTCTTTAACTATTTGACTATTTGTTATATATTGATCACAATATACAATTTAAATGTGTTAGCTAGCTTATACAGGGTGGGGCAGATCTGATTGAACAGTTTTGAGACGAAATAAAAGAGTAATGGAGGTACATAAAGAAGAATGTTTATTTTCCTCAAGATTAGCATAACATACCATTTAAAATACTTATGTTTTGAAAACAATATCAGGAAGATGGGGTTTGTTAGCTGCATCACACTGTTGGAGTCATTCTCGAAAGTTTCCTACAGCACATTCACACATATGGCGCGGTATGACCATAGCCTCTTCAGCAATAATCTGTTCCCTCAACTATGGTAGGGTGTGAGGGTGACTTCTGAACCCCTTTCTTTTAGATGTCCCCAAAGAAAGAAATCGCAAATGCTCAAATCATGTGACCTTGCAGGCCACTGTAAATCACCCCTCAGAGTCTGGGAATGTGCGTTTCAAAACATTGAGTGACATTCGGGCTGTGTGAGCTGTAGCCCCATCCTGCTGGAACCACACGTCTCACAATGCTTTATTTTCAACAGTGTTTTCCATCATGGGCTGCAAGGTATTTTGCAACATTGCAGCATAGCGATCGGAATTCACTGTTCCGGTTACTCCCTCCTCTGAGAACGACTCCAACAGTGTGTTGCAGCTAACAGCCCCCATCTTCCAGATATTGTTTTCAAAACATAAGTATTCTAAATGGTATGTTATGCTAACCTCTAGGAAAATAAACTTTCTTCTTTATGTCCCTCCATTACTCTTTTATTTTACCTCAAAATTGCTCAATCGTTTCTGTCCCGCTCTGTATATTGAGAGGTTGAGATTGTATTGACCTTTTAGGCAATTAGAAAGATTTTCCAGCCTAATGCCAGTATTCTAATTAAAATATTTAATTTCAAACTTTAAATATGTGAAATTAAAACTAGAAACAAAACAATTACAATTAAATTATTAGAATATATATAAAATAATTAAATGCAGTGAATGGATATAAAATATATGAATTGCGCACATGTTTATTTCAAACAGTGTTAGATTTTCTCATAACTTGAGTCTCGTTTCAAGTCATTTGAGGTTTGTTTGGTTATCATTCAGTTTATTTATAGTATTGGTTTATTGGTCTGAATTAAATGGGAACAGTGCAGTCAGTCACTACTAGTTGGTTTGTATAGAGGGTAGAGTCTGGTAGATTTATAGGACACAAAACTAGTAGATCTATTGATAGTGTTGTGCACTGTGCTATCAGCTCCCAATCTGTTATGTGACTCTTCAATGTTTAGAAGATCTGCATTCCTGAAGTGTTTTTGTATATTGAAGCCAGTTAAATGGTCAATATTTAGCTCATTACCTTGCTCCATACAAACTTTACAAAGCTAACGAATAGACTTATCAATAATTGTTTACCCAAAAATCCCTAAGTGGTAAACACCACCTTGGCCTGTTGGCCATTATTGAAGGCAATAAGTGCCCTTTTTAGCCATCCATTATGATCCAAATACTGTTATTGTTAGTAGGCTAATTGCAACATAAAAATTAACACTTCAAAAAAACAAAAAAGCTGAAAAAATAAAAAAAATCAAATAAATCAAAAAAATCATGAAAAAATCAAAAAAATCATTGATTTTTTATTTTTTTGATTTTTTTTTAAATCAAAAAAATCACCAACCCTGTTGAAAATAAATATTATATTCGAAATTTTGTTGATATATTGTTATTACTTGCTATACCTACCTCATGATTATCAACCTCATCTCAAGAATAGTTCAACTTCTTGAAAATTGGAATGCATTCTCTGTAATGCATCCAATACCAACATTTATCTCTCTAAATCAGTGGTTCTTAAAGTGGGCGATATCGCCCCCTAGGGGCGGTGGACAGATTATGGGGGGCGGTAAGGAAGAAGAGGGCGATAGGGGGGCGGCAGTCCGAAGTCGATGTCAGAAGTTTGAGAGTTTGTTTGACGATTTGTACCCAACACGAGCAGCACATGACTCCCAGCGATAGTTTTGTCACACATATCTGTTTTTTCAACTTCTCCTGTGTTTACGCCTCGGAAAAATTAATGGCTGGACTCGCGGCCGGTCTCACGGCCAATTTCCAAAATCAACGATCAAGGAATATCTCTAGAACTAATGAACGTAACTCAATGAAACTTAGTACACGTATTCATTAGGACCTAACGATAATGTTTAGCTCGTGAAAATTGTTTGAATTTTGCCGTAGTTATATGGCAATACGGGCCGAAATTCACAGTGATCAAGTAATTTCTTCCAAACTACTGAACAGATTCAAACGAAATTTTGAATTTGCAGTCCTAACTAACGAACGGTAATGTTTAGCTCGAGAAAATTTTTTCGATTGTACCTTCGTTCACAAGCTTTTTTTTTCATTTCACCTGCATTCGTGATTTAAACAGCAAAACGTGTTTAAATTCGCAGTAATCAAGAAATTTTTCCAAACTGCTGAACAGATTTGAACGAAACTTAGTATTTAAATACCTACGTATACGGCTACATATATCACCGTTGAGAGGTTAGGTAATTATATACAAAGTTTCGTTGAAATCTGTTCTGTAGTTTAAAAGAAATTTCTTGATCACCGCGAATTTAAGTGACAAAATACTTGGTGATACAGGCCGAATATAAGGAAGTGTGAAATCAAGAATGACGGTGAAATGGAAAAAAAAACTCGCAAACGAAGGTAAAATCGAAAAAATTTTATAAGCTAAAAAATCACCGTTTGGTAGTTAGGAATGTATATTCAAAATTTCGTTCAAATCTTTTCAATAGTTTGAAGAAATTCTTTGATCACTGCGAATTTCGGCCTGTTTCGCAATATACGCGTAACTCACAAATGAAGGTGAAATTAAAAAATGTACGAGCTAAACATCACCGTTAGGTTCCAATGAATACATGTTCCAAGCTTCATAGAGCTGCGTTCATTAGCTTGGGAGATATTACTTGATAATTGAATTTGGAGATTGGTCGTGAGACCGGCCACGAGTCCGGCCGTAAATTCGCCCAAGACGTCCAAGATTTCTGCATGGTGCTGAAACAGTTCAAACAGCTGAAAAACGTATTGGCTCACTAAATGGGGTTCTATTTGTGAGATACACATTTGTGTTTAACCTTTCTCTTTTAAAATTGCAGCGTACTAAATATCAAGAAAGATGCGCATGTCTGTGGGGGGCGCTAGAAATTTACTAGGGAGCCAAAGGGGGCGCCAGCCTGAAAAAGTTTTGGGAACCACTGGTCTAAATCATTCAAGCGGCCATTCCTTCTTTGCGCCAGCCTTGAATTTTTTGTTTAATGTTTGAAGCATAGGTACTATTAATTTTCAAAATTTATGATGCATTGCTTTTGTGTGCAATCATTTAAGGTGCCACAGCACAAGTGACAGAGAAATCTGACAAAACGGCGAGAAAACAAGATTGTCCTACTGACATCAAGTTGGTCTATTGTTGGGGGAATTCAATAGGTAACGGTGTAATAAACGGCAATATCTGCTCCTATGTGGTGAAATAAATATTCTGCAACTACTCAACAATTGAACAAGAAAAACATATAAACATAATTTTAAAGAAAATAACTCATGCATCAAATCAGGAGCTAAAATGACTGCCACAACAACAACAAATGACCTCCTGCTACGCACACGCAGAGTGTGGGGGTCGACGAAGGTGGTGTAAGCGTTGACATACTCGACGTTCTTGTCCCTGAGCTGCACACGGTAGCCCCAGTTGAGGGAGCCAATGTGGTTCTGCACGCCCTCCACCAGCGTCCCCCAGCTGTGCTCGATGCTCTCTGGCGTCTGCCAACCATACGCCCGCGAGTCCTGACGGCACAGACAACACGTGTTAGGATGTGTGGGGAGGGCGGGGATGGTTTCTCTACAGGCTTTAACTGTAAACTGTGGGAATCAGTACTGCCCATCAGCGTGATCATGGACTAAGGAGTCCTAAACTCATCATAAGGTCATAAGACTGTGTGTGAGTAAGACCTGCTGAAATAAGACAATGTGACTCTGCAGGCCTGAATACCGTAATTGCAGACCGTTAAGGCCAGTTCTTCTGGCATCATACTCACAGATAATGAGTCACACCAACACAACCATACCTGCAGACCATGTGCCAGAAGCGCCGCCTGATGCATGAGCTTCTTGGGGATGCAGCCGACATTGACGCACGTGCCCCCCAGTCCCCACTGTGTCCCCAGGGGGGTGGGCTGCACAAAGTCCAGAACGGCAACCTTGGCCCCCAACGCCGCAGCCTCTTTGGACGCTGCCAGGCCACCTGAACCACCCCCTATCACAACCTGGCCACAAATGGTGGTGTCAGAACATGAATACAATTGCAATATTTGCTGCTATACCATCACCTATTTAATAAATTAAGTGTCTTGTTCCTCATAGATTTTTTAAGGCTCAAAACAAATCTCGCATGAAAACTAGCATGATTCTAATTGGTGCGAACACATTACATATAGATGCTTACAATCCTGCAACAAAGTGCTGTACTCACAAGGTCATACTCATAATCATGAGTCTTGACATGCAGCAGTGGCAGGAGCTGGCCCGCCTCATGTCTGTTGAGGGTGTCATCGCAGCCGCCTACATGTGTGCCGTTAATGAAAGTGTTGGGGACTGTCTTTAGGCCCGTCCTGGCAAACAGAGCCTCTTGTATGGCATCTCCGTTTTCTGTGTGGGTATGGGTGCATTGGGGATGAGGAGAGGAGGGTATTGGGACGTTGGTAAGAAGGTGTCAGGGATGCAGGGAGTGCCAGGTAAGCACATTTCTCATACATGACAAGTACACAGGAAGGAAGATATATTCAAGTTATATACTCACACCTTATGGTAGCAATAAGATATTAGATCCTGGAATGTCCACAGCTTGCATCATGTGCCTGTCACACTCACAACTCACCAAGCTCATCAAGCTCCAGTGCTGTGAACTTCACGCCAAGTTTGTTGAACAGTGCCTTGACCTGCAGAGAACACCAAGTGTTAGTGAGCATGTGTTCTCAGCATTGGAGAACACTGATCACAAAGTTGTTCTTAGACTAGAAGGAGATTTGAATATTTTGGTTAAATCTAGAATCTTTTGGCTCTTAACTACATTGCAACAATGGTATTCACCATTGTTCAGATCTTTCTTTGCTTACAATAGCATCATAAGGCCCTGGTCATACATAACTGCATGAACAGTTATGAATGCAGTGGTACAAGTGTGACTAGTAAAAGAAATATGACTAGTGTGTAAAATAAAAATATGACTACTTGTGTCTAGTAAAAGAAATATGCTACCTTCTAATTTTAGGCAGAAATTTGTAATTCCCACACTGTACTTCCACAGATTGGCAAATAATTTTACAGTTTGGAAAATGAACAAATGTGTTCAGGGTCAAGATGGCAATTTCCCGCCAACAAATAGAGATAAGATATTGCAATGATTTATTTGTAATATATCTTAAATGGATCTTTTTATCATTGAAATATACATACATATTAGGTAGATAGTAAAGTTTTAGGCTTCTAGTAGGTATTGAAACAGGCAAGTTACTATACAGCAATCCCTTGATTAGCACGGTTTTGAATACCGCGGAAAAAAAATTGTTACCTACCCTTAATCTACGCGGTGCCAGTTTTGATTAGCGCGACTTTTTTTTCACAACGCATCATTTTCCCGCCTCTAGCCAGAGGTGTTACGTTCGTAACAAAAGTGTTACTTTTTGCTTATTAGATCTTATGTTGTTACTTTTGTTACAACTTTTGGAAAAATTTACCAAATGTTGCTACTTTATGAATTTCAGCAAATAATTCTTTAAATAAGGTCCCGTTCCGTAGGCACTCGTGCTGACTACAGAGTTGGTTTAACTGCGCCTTGTCTCGTTCATAACTCGAATGGTCGAGTTCGGTAACGTTCGCCGGTAAGTGCACCATGCCGGTGCTCTAGTTACTCGTTAGCCTTCAACTGGTCAAGATCGCTGCCATATCTACTGCTCACTTTTATCAAACTACATAATTTTCCTTGATAAATTACAGTCATAATTATGGACAAAAAGGGAACACTTAAACGTAAAAATATCACTTTGGAGACTAAGCTTGAAATAACTAAGCGTTTTGATAATGGTGAATGAATGTCAAAATATGATGAATTTTAATATATGATGAAAAAATCTGATGAATTTTAGTGGAAAAAAAATATTATTATGTAACTTTGCTATTTTTGAGGATTCATTATAATTATTCCCATATATTCTTAAGTTTGATTAGCGCGGTTTTGCTTAACACGGTAAAACTCGGGGATTTATTAACCGCGTTAATCAAGGGATTGCTGTACACATCTGCATGAAACATTTGAATTGAAACTGATGCTAAAATATTAAGCTTTAGCCTGGACTAAAGCTCAATGACACAAAAGTCATCATAGCACTTTTATCTGTTAATAGATTTTAAGATAGATTTATTTAATAAACTAAACAGTATCACAAATTTCCAGCAAATTAGCTTCATATTTATCATGTAATCAAGCCTTGCAAATGGCAGTTCCCACAAGTTTTCTTCAATTTTAGGAAAGAATAACAAGGCAAGTATGCATGAATGCCATATCAGTTGGGTGGCAACTAGTGTGTTATTGAGAGATGAGAGTTAATGTTTTTCAGTCTGCACTCTGCCACTGTGCCACATATGCAAGGATGGAAGTCTTGGATAACTGATAACTTAATCAGTTTCAAAATATAAGTTAAATAGAGCAAGTGAAAATATATAGTTTCAGACTTTTATATCCATTGTAATATTTGCACTTGATAATATATTACCCTTCTTGAATAACTACATGGTATTTAACCTTTTTGTCATGGAAACATTTACCATTTACTGTTGTCAATACCATTTATTTGGTCATACCTAGTGGTTTCTGGTTTGGGACCAAGAAGTCACATCAGTCATAAAAGGGGTTAACAAAAAGGTGTAAATTGGGCATACGCTACCTGTAAGTGAGATGGAAATGCCTGTGCAGGCGGTGCTCTATTTCAACCTAATGCTCTTGGGCAATTTCTTAGGTAGAACTTGAGAAATACAGTACATTTTTCCCTGCCATTTTTTATAAATTGCACATCACAAATGACTACAAGAGCAATCAGCAATTTATAAAAATTCCTACCTAATATTCCAAATTGGTATACTAAGAAGAGCAGAAGACTAGAAGATATCTCAAGAATATATATAAAAACTGAAATAAAACTTAAAAGTTTGCTCATCTGGAAGACTGGAATATCAGATATTTAAGGGGAGCGTCTCCCGAAAAATCGAAAATTTTCACTTTTTGGGTTTTTACACTCATTTTAAAGCTTAGAAAATTACGCTTCTAACGAGACTAAACTTGTCTCTCTACGTCGTCTGGTTCTCGTACACCAGCCAACAGAAGCAAGCCGGTACCGCAAGCTCAGTGCATCGACAGCGGTCGTGAGAGAAGTAGTGTGTTTATCAGTGCGCCTCTAAAACCCGACGTCGTGACCGCTATAGCTGCCTGTGGATCTTTCCTAAGATGCCTAAAGTGAAGAAAAGTCGTTCATTGAACTTGCCCTATGTGGCGAAGGCAAGTGGAATAGTGAGAAAAGAAGGAGAAGTTGAAGAAGGAGTGGTTGAAGGAGTGGCAAATGATGGCCGCCGCGGCGGTCGTCATCTTCTTGTACAGGGCTTGCAGGTGCAGTGTAGTGGCGAGGCTTCTACTTCCCGCGGTACTGGAACTAACTCTCTTCTTCCTTTTCAGGTTTCTGACGACGGCGAGCGAGATTTTTCTACTGAAAATGTTATTGTTCCTGTTTCTCTCCTTGTGCATGCCTTCTCATCTACTGCTTCTTCTTGCGCCAAATGCGGTGGCCCTTGCAGCGTATCTGTTGACAGAGAGTACACTGTGCCCAAAATTACTAGGGTTTGTCTCCAGTGTGCTGCTATAACAACAGTTTACACCCCGAACAAGGTCACTGGCATTGATGGTGAGGTTTCCAATTTCAATATGGATAACCTGAGCTGCGTCTTCTACGCGCTAATGAATAGCGATGGTTATGCTGGAAGTCATAGGTCATGCGCTGGATTTTCCTTGAAAGGCTTCAGTAAGAAAGCATTNTGGGGTAAGATGGGACCAGGCTGGGGTAAGAAAGGACCAACTGGTAATTCTTATGTTACAAGGTTTTTAATAAAAGTACAAATCTGATATTCAATATTATTCATCTAGAAACACATTATTTGATTAAACAACCACTTGTTACTGTTTTGTGTTGCAGGAAGTCAACTCTAATATCAGTCACATTGGGGTTTTTATCACAAGAAAACTTTGTTGAGCATAGTAATAGTGGGTTGGCTTTGGTTCGTTGTAGAGCACTGCTAAATGCTTCATGTATATTCCATTAGTGTCATAATGTCATTGTCTGAAAAATTTATCAAATTGGTAATAAAACCAATGGATAATAACTTGAGTCTCAGACATCATGTGTTTTCTTGCTACTGCATAACTGCATTTGTGGTGCACTTCTTCAAACATAGCTCATGCCCTCTCACAGAGTTGTGATCATAATTATTTTTCATGTTTCACACAACGGCTTTTCCCCCATCCAATGTTGCACATAGATCTGCAGCTCACTAATGAGAAGAGACATCCCTATTTTCACCATCCCTTTGATGCACTTTAAAATAGTGCACTAAATTTCTCTAATTAAAACAGCTAACAAGTTATAATGAAGTTTGAGCAAAAGATAAAAATTTTGACCAAAATACTCCATGTACTGCACAATGATATATTCATTTAAAAACTATTTTTGATAAACTGTAGGGTAAGGTAGGACCATTTGTAGGGTAAGACAGGACCATTTGTGGGGTAAGATAGGATCACTTGTGGGGTAAAACAGGATCATTTAGTGGTCCCGTCTTACCCCATGCCCAGTCCTTTTTTACCCCGTTTCAGAATAGATGTCAGGCAGTGATGGTAGCAGGTAGAAATGCCTAATATGTCTCAAAAGTTGCCTATTACTTGAGGTTACCTGCCTATATCCACAAAACTGGCCAAAAAATTTTTTGTCATTAGACAGAGCTTATTTCCCAAATAGGGTTAACTATTTTGTGACCCTTCTTCACATAGGTTTTCTTTAAAAATTAGCCAGAAATTCATTATTTGCAGAAGAGGGTTGAAACAAATGCTGAAATGACATGCAATGATTGCTCTAACATATTCCTCCTTCAGATTAAATTTAGTGCAATTAGAATGCATGCCATGGGCTGGTCCTTTCTTACCCCATGAAGGCTGCGATCCTGTCTTACCCCATTTGACTATATATAATACTTCTTACTTTCTTGAAATGATTTCTTAAATTTTAATTTCTGGATATTTCAATGCTTGCCCGCTTAAGGGTTAACAAAATTACAAAAACAAATGATTAGGACAAAATATATGTTATTTTTGATTAATTTTAACAGAAGAAATCATGCAAAGGAAGCATATTAGAAATAATATGCGTTTAAAAATTACTTTTTAAAGACAACCCTTCACTTCTAAAGAAATTGTGTCTGCAATCTTACAAATGTAGAAAGAATTTCTAATTTTATTATAATTTATTAAAAAAATTAATTTTTAAATTTTATTAATAAAATTAAAAGAAGTAAAATTTTCAAAATTATTTATTCTGTCAATTGAATCCTGTATTGTCTCCACTCCAACTTAACGCAAGCATCACAGGCATGCAAAATTTAAGATTGGATAGGACAGATAGAAATCAGAAGTGTGTTCAATAGCAATTACAAGACAAGTAGCAGACAACATTATTTTTTCAAATTTATTCTGTCAACTGATTTGTGCATTGTCTCCAACTTTACACAAGTGTGCAAAATTTCAGATCGATTGGAGTTGGAGAGGTAGAAGTGTGTTAAATATTGATTATAAGATTTGTAGCAGCTAGCACTAGCAGGCAGACAACAAGAAGTGAAGTTAAAGAGAAGGGTTATAAAATAGGCAGGTTTTTCTAAAAAATGTCCAGTAAAAATATTTCATAGCTATTTTAGTCCTATTTTTCAAAAATATTTACAAAAAATGTCATTTTTCTTCTTTTTCCCTAAACTTAAAGACAGATTATGAACCATTGAAATTGAGCAAAACAACAGGTGCTTTAATCTCATTTAAATGTGCCAAGATGATGTGGCTCTTGTCTGATTTTACCAGTAGCAGTTCACTTCAACTTCACTGTTCAGGTTTTCAAATACCTATAAAAAAAGCACTAGGCCTACCACTACCATAGTAAAAAAAAGTTTCTAAAAATTAGGTACTACTATACCTGACATCAGTCGTGTCGGGACTCACCTGATTACAGAAGGGGCAGAAAGATTTACTGAAGATGATGACTTTGCTCTGCTTAATGTATTGCTCAACTAAATCGGCGGGAGGGAGCCCTACCGGAGCCATGGCACTTTCACTGGTAGGCCGTGAACTACTATGATGAAAAGATTTGCGAGATGACCATATACCTGTCACGAATTTGTTGTAAATAAATGAATTTTGCTTCAAAGGCTGTACATTATTTGAGACTTTACATAGGAGGCTACCCGCGCTCGAAGCGGCGGCAACTGAACGCAGCGTAAATACCGACCGCAGCGTCCGAGCTGCCATAACTTCCTGTCGAATCACTTTCCGGCTTTCTATCTCAGAAAACTAGCAGCAAAAAAATTGACCAATTTCCTAGAACCTTAAAAATATTTCAAGGTTGCAAAAAAAATTGTTTTATATCCGCAAGTCGATTTCGTAGTATTTAGTAACTCTTCTTGGAAATCATGTTTTTGTTGATGCAGCTCGCACCCTCCCTCCGCTGTTGGCCTGCTTTGCTCGTAACCATGGCTTCCGGACTAGTAAATAACTTCCTTCATTCCATTAGAATTTGACATCTTCCTTACCAGTTAGGAAATCTGAAAATCACGCCGCTTCACTCAAGTCGAGAAAACACGAAAAAACGAAATTTCAATGGCTCAAATGGTTTATTGAGAATTAAAAATTGGTCCTGCCTCACGAACCGCAGATGCATAGAAGTCTGATGATATCCACTTTCTCGGAAATACTTATATTCACAAATACCATTAAAGGTAAAAAAAGTATGCACATTATTATAAGACGCAACCTAAACTGCATTTAAAAATGCATTCCAACACGTGGTTGTTAGGCGGTTTCTAATAGATGTCCCGTTTTAATACATAAGATCAAAGTAACTAGTTTGTCATCGTAATACAAGATCAGTTGACAGTTTCATAACCAATTTTTAAGAAACAAAAAAGCAAAATAAAAATCGCTAATAAAAAGCAGAAAACTGAAAACAGTTGAGCTGAAATCTATAACTGCTAACGACAATTGTAACGTAAATGAACTTGCTCACTCAAAAAATAGTCAGTTCTCATAACTTGCTGCCTGGCCACAGTTTTTTTAATTAAGACTTTTGATAATGTAGAATAATATCGTCATTCATCTTATGATTACCGCACTAGTAACTGTATATGTTAGCATCAACTAATAATTAAAATTACAACTTTTTCCCGAACTGAACAAACCGAAGCCGATGCCGTTCAAGATAAGATCGAATTCAAATAAATTGTATGAAGGTCATAGGGTCTGAATGTGACACGTGACGATATTACCAGAGAGCTGTTTATTGGCGAGGAGAGTAAATACTGAACGTCTATTCACCCACAGTCTGATTAATTTAAAACTGTTTGATGCGGTGACCAACGATGTATGGCTACACGACACGCACTGTAGGCCGAGTGCAGGTTAATCGAATTAAATGAATTTGCTTTATCACAGAGACTTGATGTAGATCATACGATAAGTCAGATTTGTTAAAAGTTGAATTATTGCCTGAAATGCCAATGTAATTCGACGAGTAGCAAAGCACTGCTGGTTTTCGGCAGGCAACGCCGTAGGTCACGTTTACTTCCCACCTCTTGGGACACACAATTTACACTGCGTCCCGAGGGACGCAAGGCGGCAAGAAACACGCAGCTCGCGAGGCATCTGCTGATACGCTTCTTATCTGTGATGCGCAGTGTCTTATCAGGCGAAGATAGCCGCATGCGACAAAAGGTGCTAACTGCAACAGCTGCTCACTGCACCGGCCGCTCAATGCACCAGCTGTGCTCCTCGCTTGAGACCAGCAGGGGAGTTGCCGCCATTACCTGCAGTGAGCGGGACTGTTCGTTGTGGCAGCGAATTCCATGTCTACCACCAACCTCAGTTGAGTGAAAGTTAGGGTTAAAAATAGGGCCAGTTAGATGTCATTTAGATGCCAGTTGTACAGTCTACAACCAGTTGTATCGCCTGAAGTTGCTGCAACAATTGTTTCACCTTCTGTTCCAGATCCCTGCAGGCTACAACAGCTGGCACCGTAGCGCGTCGCTGACTGCTTAATGGTATTATCGCTTATTGATGCGAAAATGATGGTGAACTCCTCTAGGCGAAGGGCTTTGATATTGTGCAAATTTTTCAGAAAGAAATGAAATAAATTTTAAATAACTAAAATGGAGGGGAGCGCAGCCGTGCACCACCAATTTTGTGCACCAATAAGCCCTGAATCGAACGCCTTGGATCTCTCCTGACCTACACCAATCAGCCGTGCACCACTCGGCTTTGTCCTCTTCCGGCCTTGACCACCACCTGCCGTGCACCACCAAACCGCGGATCGAATCTGACTTCCGGGCATCGTTAAATTACGTAATTTTATGTTCACCGCATCTGAGGTTAGGTTTCAGATAGCATAGTTCTGTTCTAAAATTTATCGTCCATCGACGAGTGGCCGTTCGACCGAGGGCTGGTTCGACACACGGCCTAGATACGGACGGCTTGAAGTGTTGAAGGCTACGTTCCGGAAGGCAGGAATCATGATAGTCCATTACATCCAGGGCAGTGGTGGTCTTCGGAAGGCGACCCAAATGGAGTGCTACGAAACATTAATGATTTTGCTTTGTTCCCCTTTCATGATCGCCAACTAATTGAGATGGACTTGCGTTAAAGGTGCCTGTACACAGGGATAGTACTAGCCGCTAGTTCATCCGGCGCTTGAACTGTCCACGCTACTAGCCTCGTGTATAGGGGTTCAGCCGCTTCAGAGGCATGCGCCGGCAAGTGCCCGAGATGCGGCCGAGCGGGACAACGATGTGTGATTCAAACGTCTGACCTGAGTACAGGCTATCAAACCATAAACCAAACTACATTCCAGCGAATAATGTATTAGATATCTTCATCATTATGGACAAGACTTCGGTTTTATGACACCGAATACACGGGGGGAAATTTACAAGTCTTCTTCATTATGGATTAGGCTTCGATTTTATGACGCCGAATACACGCGGGAAATGTACATGTCCTCATCATTATGGATTAGGCTTCAGTTTCGTGACACGAAATGCGTGCGTGAAGTTCGCCTTCAAGGTTTGCATTCACGAGGGAAAATTGAAGTGAAGACTGCTAGTATTGCAATGAACTGTAAATTATCATTCGCGTTCCCTTTAATGGTTACGAACTGTAACATGCCATTTGTGGTCCTCTCGCTGGTTACAAACTGTTTCTCGTCATTTGCGGTCCCTTCATTTGTTACTAGTTGTAACTTGTCATTTGTGGTCCTCTCGTTGGTTATAAACTGTAACTTATCATTTGCGGTCCCCTTTTATCGTTACGAACTGTAATTGGTCGTCTGTCCCTTTGTTGGTTACAAACTGTAACTTGTCATACACGGTCTGCATTGAACATACGATCATTGGGAGAATTTTTGAGTTTGGGGCATCAGGATGAACTGCCGTGTGCATTTACAAGCTTGTCGCTTGCTCAACCTACCTCCGATGGTCGTGTATGAGTGCCGCTACTACGATTTGTCGCTACGATGATAGACAACTTAAGGCAGTTTGTAGATATAAGTATAACTTGGTCATCCTTGCGAGGGTGGACCAACTGCCCGGGAAAGAACGAGGTCGTTCCGAAATGGAGCCTGCATTTGCTGCCATACTCTTCATTAGGTGTTGATGATCATCTTAATAGGAATAATGAAAGTAAAGAAATTGAAAGTCACATTGAAAAATCTGCAATAAATATTAACCACAACGGATTTATGAGTTGTGTCCATTTATTGTAGGGTGATTATAATTAAAGAGCTTGAAATTTTGGTAGTGACGCATTTCCACTACGAAAAGCAGGATGGATGATCAAGCAAGCTAGCATTTCAGAAGTGCTAGCGTTTACAGCACGTCGAACGAGCATAAAAATTCGGCCTGAGATACAAGCAGAGAAATACACAACACATAACATAAGGAAGCTTGCACCATCTTCCGTACCAACAAGGCAAGCAAATCATTAAGAGACGGAGCTAACATTTTTCATGATCAATCACTACATTAGTGAAGCAAATCACAACAAGCAAAGAAAATTGGTAACAAACAATAAATCGATAACATGTACAAATAACGTCGGACTAAACGGCAACTTTTAGTTCAATTTGACCATCGGACACAGCTTGAGGAACGTCGCTGCGAGTAGTAGCAGGCCTCTGATGAGCTGCTGAGGGAGGCCGTGAAGACGGCAGTGCGCTTGGCTGTTTGTGATTCCCGTCCACCTTGCCGGGAATTTTCCCCGTCGGAATTGTATTATCTGAGACGTCAGGGTTGGGACGGATGAGGTCAGCTGGTGCCCACGCGGGAGCTGCTGCACCATCTGTGTTGGGACGCGTGAGGTCTCCGGGCGTCCACCCGGGGGCTGCACCATCTGTGTTGGGGCGCGTGAGGTCCGCGGGCGTCCACCCGGGGGCTGCACCATCTGTGTTGGGACGCGTGAGGTTTCCGGGCGTCCACCCGGTCGGGCGTCCAGCCGGGGGCTGCACCATCTGTGTTGGGACGCGTGAGGTCTCCGGGCGTCCAGCCGGGGGCTGCACCATCTGTGTTGGGACGCGTGAGGTCTCCGGGCGTCCACCCGGGGGCTGCACCATCTATGTTGAGGCGCGTGAGGTCCTCGGGCGTCCACCCGGGAGCTGCATCATCTGTGTTGGGACGCGTGAGTTCCCCGGGTGTCCAATTGGGTGCTGCTCCAGGGGGACGAGTTAGGGCCTCCACGTCCCACGAAGTAGAACTTTTATTTCCCCCAGCAGTGGAAATTTTTAATCGCTCTTCTGTTTTGGGGCGTCTAAGGTCAACTGGATTCCATGCATTTGCTCCAGCGAGAGGAATGGCGTTGTCTATACTAGCTGGTCGGGTTGATCCTTGTAAGACGTCCCGCAACTGCAGGTATGGATGAGCAAACCTACCGGCCTGCAGGTAAGGCAGGTACGATAAGATAGTGTTCAAGTAGCTCAGCTGGGGCTGCTGGAGGTAGATTTGATTAGTAGGAAATGGGTAAGGCTTATACGGATACCCCTGAACTGCTGGCGAGGCAGGAGGCAGACTGTCTCTCAATAAGCCCGGCGGTGAGAAGCGATCAGGCAGTACAGCGTCATCTATGTTGGTGCTGGATCCATTTGTCTGAAATTTTGTCGAATCTTTAATTGTGGTTGAGGATGCAGCACTTGCACTTCCTTTGAGCGAGGCTTTCTCTTTCTTGGCTGCCTGCCAAGCAGACATCAATTGTTCAGTTGCGGCCTTTACTTTGGGTGAGGCTTGAACGGACCGAGTGTAGTATTCTACGTCTGGCATGTAAACAAACCCAGTTTCAGGATAAACATTGGCAACCCGCAACATGTTCACTCCTTGTCGCGCAACCTCGTCATTCCACGCCAACAAAAATGCGTATTTCGCATCTAAGACCTTACCATCAGATTCCAGTTGTGCGATAAGCTCCTCGTACTCGACTTTGTCGGCTGGGGGGCTGTCGGTCGAGGTTGAGTTGGCTGCAGTCTCAACAGCTTCAACTGTGCTCACTGTGCCCTGCGTCGCGGAGGTGTTAAGATATCCGGACGTTTGAACCAAGCTGTCTATAGTACTTGGTTTAGTGGCGGAAGTACCGTCAGAACTTTCTTCCTCAGAACTTTCTTCGACAATGTCATGAACGTCTCCAGTGGATCGATGACTGTGCACATTCGATGACTCGTAATAAGCATCGGGGAACAACGAGAAATCATTTGATGAAGTCGAAGGGTAGAACGGAATGGAAAATTCCTTACTTTCATCAAGTGAGGTTGCTACCATGTCAATTTTGCTGTCACTATGCCGTATGCGTAATGTCTCTCTGATTGCATCATGTAGGTCACCATTATTATAATTGGATGCGAATTCATTCGATTCAATATTTGGTTGAATTTCGATCGAACCATCTTGCTCATTAACTGACTTTTCGTTCTGAGTTGACGATGAAGAAGCAGAAGATTTTGTGATGGGTTGAATCTCGATCGAAGCATCTTGATTATTAGCAGAGTTTCCGTTTTTGGTTGACGATGGAGAAGCAGAGGATCCACTGTTTGCTTGGTTTTCGATTGAAGCAACTTGGTTATTAACCGAGTTTCCGTTTTTGGTTGACGATGGAGAAGAAGAGGATCCACTGTTTGCTTGGTTTTCGATTGAAGAAACTTGGTTATTAACAAAGTTTCCGTTTTTGGTTGACGATGCAGAAGCAGAGGATCCACTGTTTGCTTGGTTCTCGATCGAAGCATCTTGGTTATTTACCGAGCTTCCGTTTTGGGTTGAAGCTGGTGAAGCAGAAGAACCGCTGTTTGCTTGGTTCTCAATCGAAGCATCTTGGCTATTAACCGAGTTTCCGGTTTGGGTTGACGATGGAGAAGCAGAGGAACCACTGTTGGGTTGGACTTCGATTGAAGCCTCTTGGTTGATGACTGAGTTTCTGTCCTTCACAGAGTTAGACGAGATGTGCTGAGATGATTGCCCCGGTAAGTGGGAAGAAGTCGAAGCAATTTCAGATGGAGTTGAAGGGTAAATTGTACCTGCCGCTTGAGGAAGAGGTGCAATAGCTGCAGAGATTTTGGCTTCTGACTGCGGAAGAGGAGCGATGGCTGCAGGGATATTGACTTCTGACTGCGGAAGAGGAACGATGGCTGCAGGGATATTAGCTTCTGAATGCGGAAGAGGAGCGATGGCTACAGGGATTTTGGCTTCTGACTGCGGAAAAGGAGTGATGGCTGCAGGGATATTGACTTCTGACTGCGGAAGAGGTGCATTGGCTGCAGGGATATTGACTTCTGACTGCGGAAGAGGAGCGATGGCTGCAGGGATATTGATTTCTGACTGCGGAAGAGGTGCAATGGCTGCAGGGATTTTAGCTTCTGACTGCGGAAGAGGAGCGATGGCTGCAGGGATTTTGACTTCTGACTGCGTAAGAGGAGCGATGGCTGCAGGGATATTGACTTCTGACTGCGGAAGAGGAGTGATGGCTGCAGGGATATTGACTTCTGACTGCGGAAGAGGAGCGATGGCTGCAGGGATATTGACTTCTGACTGCGGAAGAGGAGCGATGGCTGCAGGGATATTGACTTCTGGCTGCGGAAGAGGAGCGATGGCTGCAGGGATATTGACTTCTGACTGTGGAAGAGGAGCGATGGCTGCGGGGATGTTAGCCAAGATGACAGGAAGGGCTTTTTCAGGTAGAGCCTGTTTCTCGCCCCCCGTTCCGCCTTCTTTAGGCGCTGTGGAGTCACTGACGAAATCAGTGGCAAGCCCCTGGCTCAGCTGATAAGCGAAGTTCTCCTTGTAACTTCCAGCGGGCAGGAGCGACGCCGGATTCTTCACGACTGGAATTTTCTCAAGACTCCAGTTTGGACTTTGATGACCGAGACTCGCTATGCCCTCCGGCACGTGGGGGTTGGACAAGAGGGATGAGCCCGAAGAAGGGGACAGGCGGCCAAGGTTGCGGCGGGGGAAGTCAGCAGGGAAAATATTTGGCTTTAGGGCGAAGCCTGAACGGTGGGTGTCGGGGGGAACAGAACGAAGTCCTCCCCCAGCAGATCGAGGTCCTGCCCCCGAGACGTCGTTACTCTGTGAAGAGAAAATATGTTACTTAATAATAGCTTTTGGGTGGGTAGTGATGGGTGAGGTGTGAAGGGTGAGGTGTGAAGGGTGAGGTGTGAAGGGTGAGGTGTGATGGGTGAGGTGTGGTTGGTGAGGGGTGGTGAGTGAGGTGTTTTTGAGTGGGTAGTGATGGGTGAGGTGTGGTGGGTGAGGGGTGGTGGGTGCATGAGGTGTTTTTGAGTGGGTAGTGATGGGTGAGGTGTGGTGGGTGAGGAGGTGTGATGGTAGAACTCACCGTACGGTGCGCTGGCGTCGCCACGAGGAGATGGGCCGCGGCCACCACACCCACGACCTGCAAGTGCAACGCACAGTTAGTCGCCAGTTGGATGCCAGTTAGCCGCCAGTTGCATGCCAGTTAGTCGGCAGTTGCATGCCAGTTAGCTGCCAGTTGCATGTCAGTTAGCCGCCAGTTAGACGCATGTTGGTCGCCAGTTGCACGCCAGTTAGACGCATGTTGGTCGCTAGTTAGTCGCCAGTTGCATGCCAGTAAGCCCACAGTTATACGCATGTTAGTCGCCATTTAGCCACCTGTTAGAGACCAGTTGGACGATAGTTGGACGCCACTTGAACGACGGTAAATCGCCAGTTAGTTGGACGCAAGCTAAACGTCAGTTAATCGCCACTTGAACTTTAATTAGTCGCCAGTTAGTCATCAGTTAATTACCAGTTAAACGTTAATTAATTGCCAGTTAGTCGCCACTTAGGCGTCAGTTGTGATCGTCTGAGCGTCTGCATCGCTTGAGGTCGCCAACCTCAGCCGCCCACCTGCACTGAACCGTGTGTGGTTCACTGCTGCGGTGACTGTACGTGGTTCACTGCTACGGTGACTGTACGCGGTTCACTGCTACGGTGACTGTACGTGGTTCACTGCTACGGTGACTGTACGCGGTTCACTGCTACGATCACTGCAGCGGTTCACTGCTACGGTCATGAGACTGCCGTATACGGACACGTTGCTTCGTATTCTTGCGGCGACCGCAAGTTTAAGTTTAGTCAACGACGTCGCGTCAGTCAACATCTGGTGCAGCATGGCAGCCTGCAGCAACTGTAATGTACTGCAGGCCACAGGTGCGGCAATGTACTGCAGGCCACAGGTGCAGCAATGTACTGCAGGCCACAGGTGCAGCAATGTACTGCAGGCCACAGGTGCGGCAATGTACTGCAGGCCACATGTGCGGCAATGTACTGCAGGCCACAGGTGCAGCAATGCACTGCAGGCCACAGGTGCGGCAATGTACTGCAGGCCACAGGTGCGGCAATGTACTGCAGGCCACAGGTGCAGCAATGTACTGCAGGCCACAGGTGCAGCAATGTACTGCCGTACAGTGCAGTTTAAGGAACCAGTTGTGGCCTGCATAGCGGGGCGCTGCACGCGGGGATGAGGGGTACGGCTGCGCTCGCCGCGACCTCTTGAGCGGCCGTTGAGCGCACCGGCATCGTAACGGTCAGTCCTTCCCTGCGCCGGCCTGCGTGGCAACATGGCTGTGGGAGTTGGTATTTCAATCATACCCAAGAATTGAAACTAGCCTAACATAAGCTAACCTAACCTTAACTAACCTAATCTACTCTTCTGTGATGTTGCTTCTCTCGAGCCGCTCTTTGAACTTTCCTACTGCCGCGGACCGAGCTGGTCCGTAGCACGACGTAGTACGGCTGCTGCACGGTCGAGAGTCCGTAACTGACGCTCACAGCGACGGCCGTGCGATACGAGCATCAGTGACCGTACCGCGGTTATTTGTGGCTGTTGAACGTCTGTTCGAAAAGTCTCATGTTCCACATAATTTTCAACGGCTGTACTTAGCTATGATGACCTGTGATAACCTCATTATGTTCTGTGCAGGTGCAAGCACAGCTGCTGAAGCTGCATTGATGCTGAGGCTACACAGCAGCTGAGACTGCATTGATGCTGAGGCTACACAGCAGCTGAGGCTGCATTGATGCTGAGGCTACACAGCAGCTGAGGCTGCATTGATGCGCAATACATTTAAAGGTGCTTGTACACGGGGATAGTACTAGCGGCTAGTAGATCAGAAAATTGCCAAATTTCTGCCGCTGGGTGTCTAAGCTTCCTTGAGGAATAGACATCAAGCGGCAGACATTTGGCAATTTTCTGATCTACTAGCCGCAAGTACTATACCCGTGTACAAGCACCTTGCAGCTAAGTGTGCTCATGTGGTGGGTGCCGCTAGTCCCGCATGTGGTGTGGGGCACCGCAGGTCCCCCTCAACATAACCCAATTCCCTTGCAACCTACACGCAACCGTCGCACCTCTGCCCGCCCTCCGCAGCAGCGACTGCAGTGCAGTAACAGTTTAGGAGCTAGACGAATATTATAAAAATATTTATAAACATAAAAGTTGCAGCGCCAGGTTATGAGTTACGAGCATCGGGGCACTTACGATCGCTGTAATTTCAGGTGCACCCCGCGGCAGGAAAGCACGTCGCGCCTGCGGCCACCGCAGCTCCGCAACACTTGACTGCCGGCGGCTGCCTAAGTGGCTACGGTGATAACAAGTGCCTAATTTGTCTCAACTGTCCTTATTGGCTGATTTATCTTAGTTGTCAAGATTGGTCGTTTCATCTATTTTGTATTGAATGCACTGCCAGTCATGATTGCAGAGCCAATCACGACGATGCGCGATTGGCTCGTCATAGATACCGCCGTACTCGGTTCGCCAATCACGGCAGTCCAAAGACGCAATCTGGGCCAATCCCGCCAATCATGAACACAAAGTATGATCCATGAACACTCCTGCTCACCGCAACACTCCTGTTCACCGCAACACTCCTGCTCACCGCAACACTCCTGCTCACCGCAACACTCCTGCTCACCGTAACACTACTGCTCATCGCAACACTCCTGCTCACCATAACACTCCTGCTCACCGTAACACTCCTGCTCACCATAACACTCCTGCTCACCATAACACTCCTGCTCACCGTAACACTCCTGCTCACCATAACACTCCTATTCACCGTAACACTCCTGCTCACCGTAACACTCCTGCTCACCGTAACACTCATGCTCACCTAACACTCATGTGGGGTAGCACACAGTAACACCTCAACGCTGATGTTCACCGTATACATGCTTGAAACATACGGCGCTGTAGCAGCCTACGTAACACTAGCGGCTCGTCGGATATCAACACCGTATGCCTCACGCTCCACACAAGTAACGCTGACTCACTCCCAATTTAGAAGCAATTTGCACATAACCGTTAAGTATAACTTGCATGTAATTAACTCAAGATAAGGCGCTGATGTGTATAGTAACATATAGCATGTAACTCACCTGCAAAGCAAACATCGCTTTAGACCGGCAACACGGCGAGCTCAATTGTAGTTCACGAGTCGAGGCGTTCCAGTCACAAGAAGCCGGGAGCGAGAGCTACACATGTACACGCGATGACGCCTGGCAGGCAACTGATGCGCCTACAGCAGAGCACCCGCACCCCCAGGTGTTGCTGCCCCCGCCCGGAGGGCAAAGGGCGGCCTCAAGCCAAGCTCCAGGCGAGAAAGCTGCTGCTGCTGCTGCGGCGACAATAATTTAAGATCCATTAACCAAAACGTAACGGCTCTCAGAAAGTTGATGCCCAGCAGATGTGCCCCATTTTCCGCGGTGTGGTTCGCCTTCCTGTTCTTAACTGCTAGGGACGAGTAACGCAAGTAATGAAAATTAGAGGAGCCAATAAAAGTAACGGCAGACTTGCCGCTGCCAGCCTGCAATCAAGCGCGCCATCAGCGATGTGGTCGCGGTCTCTAGCGCCCAAACGAGTTCAGCTACAGATCAGATGGCAACCTCCACGCGCCCTACATAGCGGTGACACATTTAAAACCTGATCACACGGCTAGTCAGCCTAAATTATTATTATACTGCAGCGAACTATTAAACCTGACCACAATCTCACCATTCTGTTGACTGCGGAAGACGTTTACCGTCATGAACGCCTTGCACTTCTGAAAGAGATGCCGGGACCGAAACACTGTAGCGTTACCTTGCGCTCTACAAGACTGGCGAACGGCGCATACAATTGCAATGGAACTAATAAACTTAGTACCTTGAAGCAAGCAACATGCATCGGAACTAATCAAAACTTCATGTGTACTAAATCTGTGAATACAGCGCGTCAAACTAACAACAAAATCGCGTCAAACATTTTAGGTGAAAAACTTGTTATTAGACCCAGCAAAAACTACGAAAACGCATTAAAATCAGCAACAAAGCGTATTGGAGCTCACAACAATAATGGAAACTGCAATACAATTCATGCAATTCACCACAGACGCCGCGAGAGCGAGCCTGGAGCGCCCAAATGCGAGCCCTATGGTGCTGAGCGTCGCCTGTAGCAACGGTGCCCCAGGCGGTGCACCTAGACCGTTCTAGACAATTTTGGCAACATTACTGTCACTAGAGGCAGCTGGACTGCTCACTCATCTAGAACTAGTGCGCGGGGCTAGGGATGGCAACATTACTGGCACTAGGGGCAGCTGGCCCGCTCACCCCATCTAGAACTAGTGCGCGGGGCTAGGGATGACATCATTACTGGCACTAGAGACAGCTGGCCCGTGCACCCCATCTAGAACTAGTGCGCGGGGCTAGGGATGACATCATTACTGGCACTAGAGACAGCTGGCCCGCGCACCCCATCTAGAACTAGTACGCGGGGCTAGGGATGGCAACATTACTGGCACTAGGGGCAGCTGCCCGCTCACCCCATCTAGAACTAGTGCGCGGGGCTAGGGATGGCATCATTACTGGCACTAGGGATAGCTGGCCCGCTCACCCCATCTAGAACTAGTGCGCTGGGCTAGTAATGGCATCATTACTGTCACTAGGGACAGCTGGCCCTCTCACCCCATCTAGAACTAGTGCGCTGGGCTAGGGACGGCATCATTACTGTCACTAGGGATAGCTGGCCCGCTCACCCCATCTAGAACTAGTGCGCTGGGCTAGGGATGGCATCATTACTGTCACTAGGGACAGCTGGCCCGCTCACCCCATCTAGAACTAGTGCGCGGGGCTAGGAAATAGACCAGCCCTGAGATATAAAGACCCCGTCATTATGTTACCTGTCAACGGAAAATTTTCTTTACAATATTCATGTGAATTCAACATAGGATTTGAACTTCAAATATAGAGGTTAATTGTTTTCTTTTTAATTGTATTAGGTTTGCACTAACTTTATAATTATTTCTAATCAAATCAAAATTTATTTAGCCAGCTTTCGTTCTGCAACCTCTTTTCAACAACTAACCTCCATCTTTTTCTCTCCTAAGGCTGAATAAAATAAATTAATGCAGCTACATATATATAGGTTACATCCAACCGTCTCCCAGGCAGTAGCACACACGGCAAAGATAGAATTCTTCATTAACTTTCCCTGTGAGTGAGTGGGTGGGCCTCCCGATTTTTTCCTCCATAGGAATTAAGAAAATTACGGCAAATCAGGCAATTAGGAATGAACAAAGTCTGAAATATTCTTCGTTTGCCGCTATGCCGCACGACGGCTCGGCAATGGCTAACAAAACTCACGCTTCAGTTGGCCCGTCACGTGTTGCAGAACTGCAGGTTCCACGTGTTAATTTAACATGAATTATTTTACTTAAATGACCGAAATCGTCAGTAACGGCCGCGGCCGGACCTGCTCAGCGTATTTATTTAAACAACTTATTTAACTGGACAACTACCAGCTGCAATCCTGTGTCCACACGGGATCTTATGTTGGATTCTAAACGATAAAACGTAGCATACAGGACTGAATTCGCCCGTTTGCACCCGTTTTACCGTTTTATTTGCAAATGAGACGAGGTAAAATTTTTAAAAAGAAACCCTCGCGACTGCGCAATAAGCGTGTGAAACCATTTATTTAATTTCATAATTATTGATTACGGATTGAGGGAATAAAACGTAGCTAAAGGGAGAGCAGGTGTAGGGCGGGTTCAAGGCCGGGCTGGCTCACGCTAACGCTCACGCGCCTTTGTCCGACCGGTGTATTAATTGTATTGCTGTTTAAATATCATGAATGAGGAATAAATGGGATAAAAACTCGCAGAAGAAGGCAAAATAAAAAATTGTCACGAGCTAAATGTCGCAGTTGGAAAATCAGAAAACTAAACTTTATATTGAAATTCATGACTTGAGATGTATTAAGTTTGATCAATTTAACAAGCGTGGGCCAGCCCGGCCCTGAACCTGAAGGATTACTAGAATTTGAAACAAGAACCAATACCAGGGGCCACAGCTTTAAACTAAAAAAACTACGCTGCAACTTCTCCACGCGACAAAATTTCTTCTCGCTTCGAATCACCGACATGTGGAACAGCCTCCCCGATGACATCGTTGGCGCTCCAAGTATGAACGCGTTCAAGAACAGACTAGATAAAGCTATGGAAAAATATATGTTCAGATTTGAAATGCCTTAGTATCAGTTTGTGGGATGAGGCATTGCTTGTTTCAAGCTGGTGTGGCGAGATGAGGCAAGTAAGAACAGCTGCATAGGTATTAGAGTGACTATTTCTATTGCATGTAGAGGGTTGGCATTGGCTTTTGGGCTGATTTAAGAGTCAAATTTTTGGGCTACGGCAGCGCTCCCCGTTTAGTTTCCTAGGCTCCGGCCATAGTTCACTGGTAGGAGAAATGTCCTATGCGATTGAAACCACTTTCATGTACTTCGAGCGTAAGAAGCCAATCAAGAGTGATCTGATAAGATGTCGTTTCTTGAAATCGCAACCTATTGAGGGGGTATCGTTCCGTTCCTCTTTCAAATCAATTACATTGAGGTGCGCAGCCGTAGACCAGCAAATTAACGCTCAAATCAGCCCTGGAGCCAACATCAACCATCTAAATGCTATAGATATTGCCATCCTGGCACCTAAGCAGCTGTAGTCAATTGACCTATCTCAACACACGAACTTTAAACCAACACTGCTTCAGCACACAAGCTGTTACTCCACATAGTTAACGGTCAATACGTTGTTCTCCAATGCTTTATAACCCATACCATCACTTCTTACACATGCTGTTATCCTAAGTGTCCGCTGAGCACACTGCATTATCGCAAATGTGAACTGTACCAAACGGTAATGCGTCATCACCTTACTTAATCCGCAAGAAATTAACCCCGCGTCACTGTTTCCCTGCCTTACTATCCCCCAGCATCTTCTTCCCCCCACACTTACCCCGACTCTCCACCATTATCGCATGACTAACTGGAGGCTTTTCTCGCAGACCTTTGATGCTTATCCGAATTAGGTTAGGTTAAGTTAGGTTAGTTTACAACTCCTGTAGATCCTCTTTTCATAGCGTAATGCAGTCAAGTGAGCAGAAACTGAGAAAAGCCGTCCGGTAGTCAGTGGAAAAAAGGCGGGGAGACGGGGTATGCGTGAAGGTAGAGTTATGCCGGGGGAAAACAGCTGCGACGAACGGACGGGCTGGAGTGCTGGCTGTGTATCAACAGCGGTATGGCGTAGAGAGTTGCTTACCGAAAATCGTGGTTAGGTTAGACGGCATGGGATAGAGCTGTTGGACGGTTTTCAATACGGCGTAGAGCGATTGTATTGGTGGCTTACTTCTCATTAGCTCGCTGGTTAATTTCCATGAAGGGGATTTGTAATATTTGCTTTTAACATATAATCCCTTAGTCTACTCTGCCCTTTAGCAGGCTTACGCACGGAAAGGAGGATGAAAGATAAGCTGGTCTTGGACAATGCTGGCCTCTGGCATGCATCCCTTACATTGTGTTATTAGGAGCCTAGTGATTGCTGTCTTTGCGTAAAAATTGCGTGATTATGTAGTCTGACAGACGAGAGGTGTCTCCAACTTCAATTCGCACCGTTCCTCGATGTGACTTGGTCACACAGTCTGACGGGAGCGCTGCCGTAGCCCAAAAATTTGACTCTTGAATCAGCCCAAGAGCCAATGCCAACCCTCTACATGCAATAGAAATAGTCAGCCTAAATCCTATGCAGCTGTTCTTGCTTGCCTCATCTCGCCACACCAGCTTGAAACAAGCAATGCCTCATCCCACAAGCTGATACTCCAAACGGATTACGCCCAATTGCTCCTACACCAATGATGTAAGCCCATACCATCACTTGTTACAAATGCCGTAAGCCACAGGGTCCGTAGACCGCACCAGACTGCCGTAAATGGGAACGGCCCCGCACCGGACTGTCGCATCACCTTACCCACTTCGCAGGCGTAAGCCCAGCCCTGACGCTCACCAGCATCTTCTTCCTCCACACTTACCCCCTTCTCTCCACCTTTCCGCGAAAGGGTTAGGTTAGGTTAGGTTTGGTTAGAATTCTTCCGCAAGTTGGTACCGAAAGGAGGGGGAGCAGGGGGTAAGCGTGGAGGTTTAGCCTCCAGAAGAACGGACAGGCTGGAGAGGTAGCAGTGTGGCGCAGGGCGTACCGAAAGGAGGGGGAGCAGGGGGTAAGCGTGGAGGTTTAGCCTCCAGAAGAACGGACAGGCTGGAGAGGTAGCAGTGTACTGATAGCACTGTTCCGCAGCGCGTTCGTTATCGAAAGTGGTGAAGGGGCTAGCTAGGCTGCATGGAATAGAAATATTTTGGGGTTTAGCGTGTGGGTTACGACCATTGTTTTGGCGGCCTGCAGCTCATTGGCTCGTTGGTTTACATCCATGAAGGGATTTAGTCCCTGTGGCTTTCAGCAAGTAATCATGTTGGCTAATTTGCTCTGCAGCATGCTTGCGCACGGGGAGAAGTATGAAAATTATGCTGGTATTGGGCAATGCTGGGCTATTTCAGTCGTCCCAGTCTGACTAACAAGCCAACGAGTAATGTCAGACTTTCAACGAGCGTCCGTTAGAGCCTGGGTTGATAAGGTGGCTGGTATTAGAGTCGCTGTAAGCTTCCGGCTCGCTCTGTCAGAGGAGTGCAGAATTTTTTCGGGCATCGGCAACCGATGCTAGGACATACTACAGCATATGCGTACTATTCATCGTGCTTATACGTATTATTCTTCTTGCCTAAACTTATATGCCGCAGTCTAAAGCTTAGTTATTCTACCCAGTGACAACAAAAGCCGCGATTTAGTCGGATAAGAAATTAATCGTAAGCGACGCTGGAGTTGGGGTAACTGTCTGGTGACCATCATCTCCTTTTTACCGTTACTCTCTCCCGATTTTAGGGGTCGTTAATCGTATTGGTTCTCGATTACTTCTCACAGCCTTGATTTTTTATCTTTAGCCAATTCGGAGTGACTCGTGAAACACTTCAATGGCTCCCCGTCACCTCACTCCCTTTTGATATCGAGCAGGACTGATATTGAGCTACAGAGTGCTAAAAACGACGCTGCTCTGAATCAACTACCGCAGCGATGCGGTTGGCACCCGCTCCTGGTTCTTAAAATGGTCAAAATATAATCAGTCACGGGGACTCTACCAGTAAGGAATCCCCAGTGTTAGGTCAGATAAAGAAAAACTACTCCATCGTCCGAAGTGTGCGGATTTCCGTAATATCCCCAAACTGCAATTATTAAAACTCGGGAAGAATTACGGCAGGCATAGCTAGACAGCCTGGTTGCGAAGTCATGTCATGAGGAGACTCCTCTTACAAGTGTCATACACGTGGAAGCTTGGTTTCGAGCCCCACGCCCCAGGACTTACCACCAGGGTGTCCTTAACGCATGCTGAAGTTAGGGCACTCGGGCCAACTTACCCCCTTCCTGTAGGCTGCCTCACTGTATGGAGGCCCGCCACGGCTCGCTCCAGCCTGGTCACCGATCCACGCGCCATATCAGGTCAGGGCCAACAACAGGCAGAGAGACGCTTTATTAAAATTAAAGTAAGCTTTCCAGAGTCAATAACGGTTCTAAGTCAGCCGCCGGCCGTTCACAGTTCTAGCCCTGGCTCGCCCCTACTCAGAGTCAGAAATACGCCCCGTCAGTACGCCCCGATATACGTCTTTCAAGATGGGCGACGGACGCCACGCAAAGAGGCTCTGAATTGCACGCGCAGTGCAATGTGAGAATGAAAACACGCGAGCGTGAATGTTCGTTGTGAATGCCGCAAAGCAACCTGTGCGACATCCTTGAGCAGCACACGAATTTACACGCGCTGACACCGCTCGACTTGAAACAGTCGCATGACATTGGTGCGGGCAACAAATTGCAGGGAGTCCGCTTGTACTCTAACCTCTGAGTAGATCTTTCCGTAGGGTCTCTTTTTCAGGTATTTTTTCACTGGTTAACTCGAGCTGCTCCTTGGCCCCTCCGCTGCCTGGACCGCCTCATGTTGTGCCTAAGAATACAACCAAGCAACCACAACTTGCGAACCTTGAGCTCCTCCACTTAGTTATGAAGCGTTTCCTTAGGGCCTCTCTCTGCCGAAGGTCGCGTCTGAGGCCGGCGGCCGGTTAACGAGTTCATCAATCCAACTAAAGCGAAAGTTGAGTGGCTCCCGCTTGTCACGAATCTGTCTGTATATTATAACAGCTTCATCTTGATACCCGTTTCTTATCTTACTTCATCATTTTTACATGGGTGACCAAGTTCAACGTTGGCCTCGACACTTCCAGGGAAGATGGTGCTGGAGATAAGCAACCAAGTGGCTCGTTGGAAAGTAGGCTTATTGGAATATTGCTCCGGTTACTCATGTCAGGCGGTTAAGGGCTAATAATAGTACGTTATGTCTTACAGATACTTGGCTGGTAGATAAATCAAAACCAACAGACAAACTTAAAATACGAGTCATTAGACTTGATTTACACTGTTCTTGCTGCTGATCTAACGGCATCCTGCCAGCCATCTTCTCCAAGGCTGACACACGTTCATGAAGATACTATATTGTAATTGGTTCTATTTACTTATGCTACAACCTACAATACCGTCGAACGGGCTGATAAAAACTTAGTTTGATAAAAAAACGGGCTTCGAAATTGAGTTTTAATGAAATTTCAAATTCATTTCGTAATTTGCAAAACCCACAAAGACTTTCTGTCGTCATGTTTGACCGTCCTGCCAACTGCTGCGAACTCCAGGCTGCGCCTGGTCTCGCCTAGGGAGGACTGCCCTGGAGACGCGCAGCAGGTGAGAAGGGTGTGTGATCTCTCTCCTAGCGAATCTGCAAAAATAAATTGCGTAGTCAAGAACACTTAGCAGCATGCACAACAATATATTAATATAGAAGCTCCAGAAAATTGGCTTATAACTTAACAATGGGGAATAGGATATCAGTACAGATAATTATCTATGCTGCAACATGCAATCCATAATTCAAAAAAAAGTCTGTCCTTGCAGCAGCCTCGTCAGTTTAGAGTTTCTAAAGGGCACGCGTTGTTTGAGCGTGGCGCGTGCGTCGATGACGGTACGTATAGAGTTGACAGGCCCAGGTTGATGTCAATGCCTTCTTAACGTTTTTTAATGCCTCTCGTTAACGCTTTTTTTGGCACTCTCGCTCCCAGCCAAATCTACGAGCGTGAATTTGCCGCACACCTTTGGGGCACACTACCTGCAAATAAGTCTCTTAGCTCTCTACCGCCGTATGTCACTCTCTAGGAACATAAACTTTCAACTTAAATTATACGTAAACTATTGAGTGTAGCAACCCGAGGACGTTTGTACGCAACAGAGAACATTTTAAAGTTGTACGTGGCGGCAACCATCAGTGCAAGTCATTGTACGCTCACTAGAACGTATCCTTTTTGGGAAGTAGGCTTGTGACAATATTGCTCAGGTTACTCACGTCACGCGGTAGAGGGTTAAGCAAGCGAGTAATGTCATCTCTTTTGCGATGAGCCAGTCAACAAAGAATAGTAAGAGAGGAAACTAACCCGTCTTGCCTCCTCCAGTGCTGTAGCTTTACGAGGAAGACCACGTGTGTGTGACTGCTACAGGAGTTCACGGCCGTTTGACCCTTGGCTCGCTGGAGAGATCCCTTCACAACAGGAACAAATAATTATGCAGCTAATTGAAATAAGATGCTCATATAATGTAAGTCACTGTAAAACCTGTTGAAGGAAATCCGGTCATATGTCAACATGATGGGACATGGTGATAACGCTATGTTGTGAGTAGCCATGCAATAATTTCACGAATTTCATTTCATTTTGTACACCAATCGATGCAATGCATTTTCTTCCGAGTTCCCCATAACATCATTAAAAGTGCGTTTAAAGCCTGGGCTAAAAATTTCATATGAATCATTAGCCTTGTATTGTTGAATAATTAATTTAAAGTTATCTCAATCTACTTATAACTTAACAATGGAGAATAACCTATCAAAACAAATGATAATTAGCTGCACTGCAACATGCATTCCATTATTCAAAAAAGTCAAGTCTGACCTTGCAGCCGCCTCGTCAGTTTCGAGTTTCTATAGGGCACGTGTTGTTTGAATGTGGCGCGTGCGCCGATGACGGCACGAAGAGTTGACAGGCCCAGGTTGATGTCAATCCCTTCTTTGAACCGCTGCCCTGTCGTGAATGCTTTTTTTGGCTCCATCGCTGCTCCTTATCCAACATGTATTGGGCCGCCTCAATCCACCTCTTCTTGTCAACTAAGCTCTACACCGCGTTTATCTGGTAGAAAAATTTCTCTGGAAGATACGTAAATTGTTGAATATTCGATTACCTACTTAAAATTATGTCTACAGTAAAATGCTTTGCTACATTTGGCTGGGCCCATCCGTACGTCACCGACGTTATTGCGTCAGTGCATGATGGGTAAGACAACTACTTCTGTACTCTATGACATTAGAAATACAATAATTAAGTAAAGGTTCACAATAACTATTGTGGAAATGATTAAAACTACGGTTCTAATAATCAAAAATCGCCCAAATCCAAATAAGATTGCAAGACCTAATTACATAACCTAATTTGGGTGTTTTTTCATATACTCCTTTATTTAATTACGGTAAGTATTCCTGTAGGTGCTATCTGCTATTGGGCAGACGCTGTTCTTATAATATCATTGTGGACTGAATCAATGTGTTCCCACAAATGCATGGTGTTCCCTATGAAATATTTGCCCACACGCCTCGCAGATGAACTCCTTGGGCTGCGGGCCCTGTGCGATCTTGGCTGAGGGCTTCGCTAATCACCACATAGTTTCCTTCGTCTCTGCAAGAGAACCCAAATCTACGCAATTTAACAAACGAATATAAAATTATTCGTTTGCTAAAACATCCTTAAACACCCTTATTTGTTGAAACATCCTTAAACGTAGGAGTCGGGGCAGGTCGTCTCGAATAAGGATTTTGTGGACATTTTGAAGGATCCTTCCCTTCGGTCTATCTATCATACAGATCCGGCTGGTAATGCTTGATGAACGCATCCATGCAATTAAAACTATTTTATGCAACCATCGTCTAATGTTAATTGTTGCAAGTGAAAATTATTAGTTGCAAGTGATGAATTTATTAAGAGAATTCACCAGTAGCGATGTAAAATGAACTATTATGAATCCATGTACAAGTGGTAGGCTGTTTAAAATTACATCTATGAGAGGAAGTTATTGCTGTAGCGATGACTCACGCTCCTTCACTAAGCTCTCTGATGGCTTTCTTGAGAACCGAGATGTCCAAGTTGCTGCTGATGCCCTCGTCTCTGATGTCATATCATGTCGTGCAGAGATGCCGGTCGGAGACGCGTTCTCAGGCCCCGCCAGGTCCGCTGTGACGAGGTCGAGGTGTGATACTGTCGCAGCCACATAGCCCTGCGACGGCCCGCCTCTGCATACTCGACTCAGCGCATAGAAAACTATATATTACATGTCATTGCAGTAATGTATCCAAAAACAATTTCATTGTGCTCTCCTGATTGAAGAGGTCAAGAAAAAACGTGATGAAATTAATTAACAAAATTCATACAAATGAGGTAAGAGGAGCGTCTACCCCAAAATCGAAAATTTTGACTTTTTCGGTTTTAATAGTCATCTTAAAGCTGACATTCTGACCTATCCAACAGTACCAAAACCATCTCTGTACGTTGATTTGTGCGTTCAAGACATCGCGAAAGGGTTAGGGGTGGTGGAGTTCTTTCGCATTTAAGATAGGCCGAAATTACCGGCAGTATACTTAAATAGCTAGTCTGAAGCTCTGAAGTTCTGAACACGCTGTGCTTCACAGCTTCAGTTACCCGCCTGCCATCGTACGGGATAGTTCACGTGCCGTCGTTCGCACCATCCTTGACAGAAATTGAGATCCAGTATCGTCTAGTCTTGCAACCTTGCACCCTAGGATGTCTATTTCGAGGCACGCGCAACTTAGTCGGGCTCAACTGAAAAGATAATTTATTGTCACTGCAAACCTATCTGACTATCTCCTACAGTTTTAAAGCTACAACAATGAGACACGTATCATTCGATTTGCAAATAAAAGATCTACACAGTTGTGTAGGCGTTATTCTATTTTCGTTATAGTTTGGATTTTATTTAGTAGAAAAAATCGAAAAATTTACGAAAAATAGCCCCGCACCCACAAAAATTAGAATATAAAAAACGCCTACACAGTTTTGTAGATATGGTCCTTACGCATCGAATGATATGTGTCTCGATGTCGAAGATTGAAAATCCTAGGAGGAGATAGATTTCTACGGTGCCGCTTTTTGGCCGTTTTCTAAGAACTTCACGTTTTCTTTCATTTCGAAATATTCACATGAACAAGAAGCTTTTTTTCTATCTTAAACGACTGCCAAGTTTCATAGTGATCCGTCTGTAAATAGCAGAGATAAATTTTAGGATAGACGCTACCCTTAACAAGCAGTTCTTAAGAGCATTACATCAAGGCGGTCAGCCGCGATAGTCACCTATGGCGTTTCTCAACTCCAAAAGGTCGTAGGTCGAAGAACTTCGTTATAAAGTTCCAAGTAAGAACCTCTGAAAAAAAAGTCGGCATCGGTGAGCAAGTCAAGGGAACATTGGAAATTTCATTCATTCTGACAAACAGTGACAAATTTAAATGACATAACATAGTGATGTCGGCGCTGCAGAGTAGGCCGATTCTTACTTTTCGTGACATGTTCACAGAAGATCTAAAATAGTCATTTGACTGGATCTTTTCAGGACTGAAGATAGTTTCAAATAGCTACTAGACTTCCACCGGGTTCGATATGGTGCTAGCCTGCTAGGCATTTCAAGTCTGGAAATATATTTTTCCATAGCTTTATCTAGTTTGTTCTTGAACGCGTTCATACTCGGAGCGTCAACGAAGTGATCGGTGAAGCTGTCCCACATGTCGGTGATTCGAAGCGAGAAGAAATGTTGTCGCGTGAATAAGTTACAGTGCAGTTTATTTAGTTTATAGACGTGGCCTCTGGTATTGGTTCTTGTTTCAAATTCTAGTAATCCTTCGGGGACCTTATATGTACTATGGGTATACTTTATACCTCAATGAGGTACCCACGCAGATGTCGAAATTTGAGGCTTGGAAGCTTTATAATCTTCAATCTTTCTTCATAGGACCTCCCCGTAAAGCCTGGGATTATCCTCGTTTCACGTCTTTGAACATTCTCTTGCAAATTTTTGTCCTTATCAAATCTCGATGATCACACAACGTTTCCAAACTCTAAATTCGGGCGCACGACAGCAATAAACAACTGCTTCATCGCTTCTGCATTCAGGAACTCATGAGAGCGTCTGATTAGTACAAGAAGAACATGCTTGGAAAATTTCAGCTCCTTGTCGACTTCGAGATCTTTTTTCACACTAGACTTTTCAATCCTTACTCTCTCGTTGCAACCATGTCTTCTCAAACTGTAATCTTGCTGTTCATTGTTCTTTCCGAGGTACTTTACACTGGTCGGCATTAAACCGCAGCTACCACGTATCAGCCCAGTTAACCAAACTGTCGAGATCATCTTGCAATTGCGCTTTATTTGACGCATCCTCCACTGTATTATAAACTTTTGTGTCGTCGGCATACATGGAGAACACGCTGGGCACTACTTCTGGCAGATCGTTTATAAAAGCAACGAACAAAATAAGCCCAAGAACGCTTCCTTGTGGCACGCCACTGCGCACTGATGCCCAGTCTAACACGGTTCCGTTAATACTGACCCGTTGTCGTCTACCTACTAGAAAATCTCTGAATCCATTGGAGTACGTTTCTCTCAATTCCCTAAGACTTCACTTAACCGGCAGTGGTTCCCAAAGTGGGCGATATCGCCCACCTAGGGGCGGTGGAAAGATTTTGGGGGGCGGTGAGGAAGGAAAGAGCGGTTGGGGGGCGATAGGGGTAACGAAAGCAAAATAGAAAAATTGTCACGAGCTAAACATCACCGTTGGGAGGTTGGGTACATAAAGTTTCGTTGAAATCTGTTCTGTAGTTTAGAAGAAATTTCTTGATCGCCGCGAATATAAGCGACAAATTTCCCGGCGATAGGGGCCGAATATAAGGAAGTGTGAAATCTTGTGACGGTGAAATGAAAAAAAAAAAAACTTGCAAACGAAGGTGAAATCAAAAAACTTTTATATGCCAAAAAATCACCGCTTGGTAGTTAGGAATGTATATTCAAAATTTCGTTAAAATCTGTTTAGGAGTTTGGAAGAAATTCTTTGATCACTTCGAATTTCGGCCTGTATCGCAATATAACTCACAAATGAAAGCGAAATTGAAAAAAAATTTTACGTGCTAAACATCACTATTAGGTACTAATGAATACGTATTCCAAGTTTCAGTGAGCTGCGTTCATTAGTTTGGGAGATATTACTTGATAATTGCATTTGGAGATTGGTCGTGAGACCGGCCTCGAGTCCGGACGTAAATTTGCACGAGACGTCATAGGTTTCTAGTGCTGAAACAGTTAAAACAGCTGAAATCATATTGTTTCACTAAATGGGGTTCTATTTGTGATATACACATTTGTGTTTAACCTTTATCTTTTAAAATTTCAGAGTACTAAATTTCAAGAAAGAGGCGTATTTTTTTTATATGTGTCGGTGGGGGGCGCTAGAAATTCACTAGGGAGCCAAAGGGGGAGCCAGCCTGAAAAAGTTTGGGAACCACTGACTTAACGCAACAGCCGCTCATGCGGAACATTGTCAAATGCTTTGGCAAAGTCGAGGTACAATGCATCCACTGGCTCTCTTTCGTCCAGCAGGAGAGTCCAATCTTTCAACGGAGACAAAAAGTTAGTGGTGCAGGATTTACCGGCAATATAACCATGTTGACGATCTGATATGAGATGGTGAACAGTCACGTGATCAATAATCCCATCCCTCACAACAGATTCAATTACCTTACAAACAAGGGGGCGCAGCAGTAAGCCACAAATTTTACTGTTAAATAAGCCCTGTAACCAACGCCTAGCTTCACCATGCATTAACTCACACCCTCAGAACTTGAAGCCGCTGACTACGCTTGAACTCCGTTATCCAGACAAGCGACACATTGCCGAAAGATAATGGCCCGTATGCTAAATAGGGCACTAGCACTACGAAGTAGCACTATGCACTACGAAGTGTCCTGTTGGTATACTAAATACGTCACAGACACTAAGCACTTCGAAGTAGCTCTACAATGTTTAGTGTCACTTAGTGTCGCACTACTGATTCGCATGCAAAAAGACTCTGAAGTGCTACTTCGCTGTTAGAGTACTTTATAGTGCCGCACTACGCTACGAGTCTTTTGAAGAATGGTATAGTTAAGTGCTCAAATAATTAATTATTCCCTAAGTAATTCTCATTCTTTGCAGAAGATTGATGTAAAATGTTTAATTGTGATGGTAATGGTACTAATGAAAATTGTGATGGTGAGCTGAAATTCGCAATGCGTCTGTGCACCTTTCCCATCATATATTCAAAGACCACGCTTACCAAAGACATCGAACAAAAGAGAGAAGCATGGAAAGTTCTTGCAGAAGAATTTATAATGACTCCAGAAAAAAAAATAAAATTCAAAACATGGTATCAAAAACAAGAAAAGTATTTTTTACTTCTACGCTGTTCACTTGTTTCGCCAAGGAAAATGTCAGCCATAAGAATAACATGTTGTTCACTGAAGCGGTACACTTTTTTATATTCATGGCATGCTGTTCCTGAGGTTTTTACGCGATGATGCCTTTGCT